AGGAGATGCACGACGAACAGCTGCTGCATTCACACAAGGCCCAGGAATCGGACGACCAGCTGCTCATGGTGATGCAGCGCCATGCTGACTCGGCGGTGCGCCAGGTGGAGGTGTCGGCACGCCAGGTGGAGCAACAAAATACCTTTCAGGCTGGGCTTCTGGCAGTGCAAAGCGAGCTGATTAAATCCAACAGGCCTTCAATAAAAAAATTAAGAAAAACTTGTCGTCGTTGATAAACTGTACAATGACTTGTTGGGAGGCGTGTGGTGCAGTGGTCTGGTGCGTTGGTGTTCGGATCAGGGGAGCACAGGTTCAAACCCCACTGCAGTCAGCATGTCGTTGTGTCCCTGGGCAAGACACTTCACCCCAAATTGCCTACACCTGGGAGAGTTAATTTTGTATTATTGTGATTATATATATATGCCACTGTTATTACAACCCAGTCTCACGGCATTTCGTGTTATAGTCACGAAATTAATTTAATCTATTGATTCGTGTCACACAGAACGATTTTAAAAGCAATGTATTTCTATTGGTAGTATGTTTCGTGCCTGCACCACGTCTTTTTGTCCGATCGGGTCTTGGAATACCAGAAGCTGTGTGGTTCATAAAAACATGTTCTTACTCAATATCTTACCCTAAACCTAACCCTATCCCTTTTATTTTAAATTGTATAATGTCTGACTTTTTTTGCCGTCTGTGAGGAAAAGAAATGGCTCAGAGCCTCAGAATACTGAAATCTGTATTTTTTAAAATCTTTTTTTCCTTCTAATTTGTTATTATTTGGTGCAGGCACGAAACATACTACCAATAGAAATACATTGCTTCTAAAATCGTTCTGTGTGAGAATACTGAAATCTGTATTTTTTTTATCTGTTTTTCCTTCAAATTTGTTATTATTTACATTGCTTTTAAAATCGTTCTGTGGGACACGAAAAAAATGGCAAAATCGTGTTGGTGAACACGAATCAATAGATTAATTTCGTGACTATAACACGAAATGCCGTGAGACTGTGTTGAACTATTTCATCGGTTCAGTCTGAGGGCGCTTACGGACTGCCATTTCTTTTCTAAGAGAGGATGAGTCACTCTCTAAAACATCGTCTAATTCTTACCATGAGGTCTGCTGTAATTTGCCTTACCTTGATCAAGAGCACCGTATGCATGGAACGGGATGAGGGATTTAGTTCGGAGACCTGATGAGAAGTAAAACACTTGAATTTGCACAACACACTCAACACAAGCAGGGGATTTGCTTCCTGACTGTTTGGACACGGATACATGAACACATTTCAACAGAGGAGGAAAGCCAGGCACACGTTCAATGTCCTGACGTCTTTAAAGTGGCTACAGTGGTCACTATGGGACATAAACTCTTCACTTAAAGAGCCACCTGGAACCTCTACAGTAGATCAAGTCAATGACGTCCTAAACTGCCACCAAAGGACTCCTACTCAATAAGATTTGCCATCAGATGAATGCTTAAAATAAAATGTCAACTCACCAGCCAGGCATTGTTGCCTCCAGTGATCCACTAATATGAAGAGTAACACATTTGGCTGTCAAATTGGCAGTCAAATTGTCTGCTGTAAAAAAGCAGCAACAAGCGATACACACTCCTGAAATAGCGAACGCTAGCAAAATTAGCATATTTAGCTATAGCCTACCGACATAGGGTAATATTAGCATTCATTTTGAGATGTGTTTCTGACCACCTTATGAATGTAAACCTAACTAGTCATTCTAATCTTAGCCTCCAATAAGGAAATATGTCGTTTTAGCTGCTAATGCTTGACTAAGTTAGCTAGTTGCTAACAGTGTCTGTACAATACATGGCCGGTTGTGTGAATCTCTTAATACTTAAAACAGCAAAACACAATTTTTTGGAACCAAGGGGAACACAAGTTGGTTAATTATGTTCTAGTTTTGTCTATTTTAATAGGACTGAGAGTAAACAGCCATAATCAACACAGTCTCACGGCATTTCGTGTTATAGTCACGAAATTAATCTATTGATTCGTGTTCACCAACACGATTTTCCCATTTTTTCCGTGTCACACAAAACGATTTTAAAAGCAATGTAAATAATAACAAATTAGAAGGAAAAAAAGATTTGAAAAAATACAGATTTCAGTATTCTGACACAGAACGATTTTAGAAGCAATGTATTTCTATTGGTAGTATGTTTCGTGCCTGCACCAAATAATAACAAATATAACAAAAATACTGATTTCAGTATTCTGAGGCTCTGAGCATGGGGCTCAGAGCCTCAGAATACTGAAATCAGTATTTTCCTCGCGGATGGCAAAAAAAAGTCTGACATTATACAATTTAAAATAAAAACAATAATCGTGGCTTGATATTGAGTAAGAAAATGTTTCTATGAACCCCACAGCTTCCGGTCTTCCAAGACGAAACATACTACCAATAGAAATACATTGCTTTTAAAATCGTTCTGTGTGACACGAAAAAAATGGGAAAATCGTGTTGGTGAACACGAATCAATAGATTACATTTATTTCGTGACTATTATACGAAATGCCGTGAGACTGGGTTGCCATGCTAGCAACTATGGGAATGTATCGTGGGCACAGAACAGCTTTGAGCTTTATGCTAACATATGCTCGGTCACATTAACTCCATGTTAATATATTGATGTTTAGCAGGTAACCGCGTTACATATGTGGTTGTGCCTAATGTCATGATAATCCATTCCGTTGGATCAGGTTGTTGAGATATTTCACTTTTAGCCAATAAATCATTACCTTATGGCAGCACACGAAGAAAAGTAATGGGATCATGAAGTAATTTAAAATTCATTCTCTAGCTCATTGAATATTTACACCAAATTTTACAGCAATCAATCACAATGGCTGTGAAGGTCAGGGTTTCACCAAAGTCAGCAGGCTGAATGACATCCACTGAGCCAGGCTGCTAGCATGACTAAAAATATTGATTAGTGCAGCTATAAAAAAAAATATCTTTACATATAGCCTACCCTTCTTTTAGCTGCTGATTGATTAGTGTGACAGCTGCAGCCCACTACCGCAATAGCCTCAAGCTTTTAAATGAATATACCATATCCTATTGAGTGCCATTACACCATGATAAGAAAAACACACATAGCATGAAATTCCCTTTAAGCAGCCGCAACAAATTGCTCCACCACACCTCTCTACCTGAGAAGATTTCCATGCACAGCCGAGCATGAGACAGATGCAGTATTAGGACAAAGAAGAGTTACAGCATGACAGCAGTGGGAGACACTACAGGCTTGTTAGATAGAAATGCTGAGCTTCCTGAGAGTACTTCAACATTTAAAAAAACTTTTACCCTCTCTTGAGTGAAAGCATCTTGAAATCTTGAGCACCCAAAAATAACCCTGCCCTCTTGTTTTCTTTTCATTTACTTTCCTCCCTCAGCCCTGTTTACGCATCCACAACTCCTGTCTGCTTGAGGAGAGAGCCTGTTGCATGGGTGTTTCCATGGCAACAGAGGATCAGAGGGGCTCCAAGGTCGGCGTTGGAGCACCTGGAGCCACTCTGGGCTGTAGGCATGTCGTTGGACTTTTCATTAGCATCCTTTCCCTCCTGTCTGGCATTGACGTGATGAATCGTCACCGGGCAGTTAATCATTTCTGGGGTCACACAGGCAATAAAACATGTGAGCTCTGCTCCCGCATTTGATGAAGAGAAGGGGTGGAGTGTGTCCTGATAAAGATGGAGAGAGAGATTTAAAGAGAGCGAGGAGAGGGTTTCTCTGCTGGAAAGTGGATTACATCCATTATTTAGAAGCTGCTTCCCCTTCACTGAGAGAGGAGAGAGAGGAGAAATGTTTGCAGGATACTCAAATGTCTCTTTTAAGTCTCTCTGTGGACGGTGCTACTGAATACAACCCTACTTACACAAGTAAATACTTTACCAAATACAAGTTAAAATCCACAATAAGGTATACCTTTACCTTCTGTGCAACTAACATCTTCTATTCAACAGTCTTGAGCAGCTCTGCATGCGTCCTGTTCTACGGCAGGAAGCCAGATCCATAAATGTAGCCGTGTGAAAACAACTTTCAGATCATTGCATCAAAAGAAGTAAAATTGAAAAGTGGGCCAAAAAAAGCTCTGATATGTTACCGTTTGATCGTGATGCTTCATCTCTGCTTTTCATTTCCTCTTATGAGCTGTACAGATTGTGTCCACGGGGTAATCTTGGATGCATACTTTTGAACATATGGTATCAAGTAACTTTGCATGTCGTAGCAACTGGAAGAAACGACATATGATGAAAATGAAGTACATCTTCACAGTTCATCTTCAAGCAGACACACTCCTATGTATAATGTAAATATGACCCTTACAGTCATTATCATACAATTAGAGACACGTGCCATGTTGAATATAACCTGGTTAAATAAAGGCTACAAACAAATATGTAAATGGCAGTTTCTTAAAACTTCCATTTACATAAATAATAAAAAGATAAAAGAAAAAACAGCACCTCATGTATCTCAAACTGGATTTAGCAGTTGTGAATACATGCTGTGCCTCATCTGTCTCTGCACCTCAGCATCAAGCACTGCCAGACAACACATTTCATTTCTCTGCAGAAGTAAATCCCTGCTGGCATTCACAGGTCACCAGGAGTGACCACTCTGTTCTGTTTTTCTCTTATCTCACACATTGTTGTTTCTAGAAGGGGAAGAAAAATCCCTCCCTGGCCTCATCCACCACCTACCGCTGTCACCGTCCAGAATCAGGGATGCAGCTTCTGTGCCGTCTGCTTTCTATTGAATGAGAAATCTTTCGGCAAGCAGAGTGGATAGAAAGGAGGAGAAAAGAGTCTTGAGGACAACGGGAGAAATAGGGCATATAAACGGCAACCAAATCAAAGTAAGCAGGGAGAGGAGGAACATTTTTCAAGACTGGTCTATCCAGGCTTTGATGTTGTGAAAAATAGGAGCTCTCAGCTTTACTTTTCTTCAAAGACTTTATTTCCACAGACACACTTTTGGGAGGCCTGAGATAACAATGTCAGCCTCGACTCTTTTGTCTTGTTTGCCAAAATGAGTAGAGCTCAGTACTCTACACTCTTATCTATGACACTTACACTCCATGTTTGTGTCGCTTAAACCTGTTTAATGGCTTAAAATAAAATATGGCCGGGAAAACCAAAGAACCAAAACAACCACACATTTATTTTATTCGTTGAATATATTATTTTATTTTAACATCATCATAGTTTAACTTTTAATTTTCCCTTCATTCATTTAAAATGATCACCTCTGAATGTACACATACTGCAAACTGTCAAAAATATACAAACAAATGCAGGCTTGTGCTATAGTCTGGTCAAATGTCTAAAAAACAGTGGCACTGGGGGGAGAGAAAGACAGAAAGAGAGATTGACAGAGAGAGATAGAGGGAGAATAAAAGTAGGCGGGAGGGAGAGTAAGAGAGAGTAAAGAGAGAGAGTGAGAGAGACATTGAAACCGGTAAAGACATGCACAGCATCATTGTGAGCACCGGTTACAGGTATCCAGGTGCGCGGTACTTCCGTGGGATCCTCGTGGAAAAGTACATACATTTCATCATCTGACAGTGCGGCACAAAATGCCCGTCACATATCAAATCAAAATCAAAATGTTGCTCATTAATGGAACTGTTAGGCACATCATTGTTTTTTATGGTTTTACATTTTCTGGAAAAATCTGACTTACTGTAAATGTAGAATGCTTAAACCAAAAACAATAAAAAACAAGGAAAAAGTAACATACAATTAAAAAACGAAAAAGAAAACGTTCAAAAGTCATTTTGGAATCACTGTCTTGTTAGTAACTCAACATTATTTGTGTGTGTGTGTGTGTGTGTGTGTGTGTGTGAGGGTGTATCTGGTGTGTTCACAATTGGGTGCATTTCTGTAGAACCAAGTGGATATGTGAGTGAGTACTTGAGGTGTTTGTGGGTAGTGGCTGTGATTGGCTGACAGCCTTCCAATCAGATGCTCAGGTCTTTGGGGTTGTCCTTGTAGGTCTTCTTGGGCTCGGGGATGGCGGATGAGCTGCTGCTGTCGGTCTTCAGCGTGCTGTAGTACTCTCTCACCTTAGCCGCTACGAAATTGTCATCGTCCTCTTCGTCCTCCGAGTCGTCCCTCCTGAAGCTCCTGACCGGGGAGATGTCCCGTCCCAGGCTGCGGGCTCTGTACTGCGGCTCGGGGGAGATGTCCCGTCCCAGGCTGCGGGCTCTGTACTGCGGCTCGGGGGAGATGTCCCGTCCCAGGCTGCGGGCTCTGTACTGCGGCTCGGGGGTGCTGTCGCGGCTGGCAAAGCGCCCGTCCCTCACCGTCCTCTCAGGTGAGCGGCCCCTCAGCAGCGAGCTGTACCTCTTGTAGGCCGAATCTGAGTCGGGGGTGCGCACTCTGGGCAAGGTGGCGTCTCTCTGGCTGCGCGATGCGGCCAGGTCCCTCAGCAGGCTGTCCCCCTTGTAGATTCTCTCCATGGAGGAGGCCTTCCTCAGCAGACTGTCCTCCCCATACAGGTGCTCCTGGCTTCGCAGCGGCGGCCGCGTGGCCTCCCTGTTCAGGCGGTCCATGGCTGGGGACTCACGGAGGAAGCTGTCCTCGAACGGCAGGCTGAGTTCAGGAGTCCTAGTAGGTTCCTTCAATACGGCCTCTACTCCGTTGGGCTTCTCGTTGACGCGCCTCTGTCTCTCCGGGGAGGCGTTGCGGCGGTAAGGGTCTGAGGAATGGTATTGGCGTCTGGTGGGGGAGTGGTGCCGAGAGCGGTGGGGAGACCTGTGTTGGCGGGGTGAGCGTTGTGGAGAGCGATGAGGTGAGCGGTATGGAGAGCGGTAAGGAGAGCGGTGGGGCGAGCGGTGGGGCGAGCGGTGATTGGAGTGCTGACCGGTGCGTCTGTCGGGGGAGCGGCCGCTGCGTTGTCCCCCATGACGGGTGTCCAGCGTGTTCTCTGCACTGCGTGACCGGCTGTGCACCTTGTCAGGCGAGCGGTGGCGGCTACGGTGTTTCCCGTTGGAATGGTGCCGGTGGCCGTCGCTTCCCTTGTCATCTTTCTTCTTTACCAACTTGATGCCCTTGGACTTTTTCCCCGGGGTCTTTCCCTTGCTGGTTTTCTTGTTGGGGGAGCGGTGGCGGTGTTTGGAATGGTGGGTCTTGCCGGTGGAGGGGCGGGTCGGCTCCTTCTTGCTCCGGGATGGTTGAGGGGGTTCTGGTGGGTAGCTGGACTCCGATGGCGTGTTGGTCAGGGCACTCACTTCCGCAGCGTTTTGTAACCCTGAGGCTGGGTAGGCTGTGATGACGTCGTCGGGGCCGTTGACTGTAACACAATGTGACATACAAACGAGGGCAAGGGGATCAAACATGCATCTTTCAAATGTTCTGCTTTCACATAAACCATGCTGAACCACTCAGACATGAAGCTGAGAACATTTCCAATGGAAGCCATTCTGATGTTAATGCCAGCAAAGACGGCTCGTTGTTAGATGGCACAGCAACAGCCGATGGTAAACACATTAGTGTAGCTTACACATGAGAATAAAAGGCAGTGACACAAAGACAGCCAGTGACTTATTACCCAAAACAAACCTGTCCCCAGGTCTACCTGGGGTTGCCTCTCTGAGAATGGGACTTGGCAGGTTGGGCGGCCGGCCTGGAAGCGGCTTACATTCAGAGTCAATGTAGTGTGTGTCGATGATGCTGCTGCTTGATGACTGATTAGCCATGCTCTTTCATGCGCGGTCATGATGCCTTAGATACTATGTAAATGATTAAAGCAAATAAAACGCTCAAGACGAGATCTAAAACCTACTCCTGTACTGCAGCATGCAGTTTAAGTGGCATTTGCCTAAGACGAGAAGAATTGAATGTTCTGGACAATTTTTTCTATTTTGCCTTTGAGGCAAGTTCATCCACTATAGTCTAACTAAAAATATCTACATATGCAGCCACCACGATGCTTTGCTTTATCAGATTTAATAGATAGGTCTTCAGCTGCAGAAATACAACTAACAACTAAATGGCAAAGAGGATGTTCTTTTGATGATCTATAAAAATCGAAATAATAAAAGACTAACATGCATTTCACCTTTGGACGAGTTGCCCAAATGTTAAATGCAACATATGCATGAAGAATCCATAACAGTGGCTACGGCAGCGGCGGTACTGGCGATGTGTTTTGGGTGGATGGATTTGTATGTATGGAGTAGAGCATGGGCATGGGTGAGTTGAGGCCACACCACACAGATATCGGGATGGCGAAGCAGCGCAACAGAGAGAAAGAAAGACAGGAAGTGGGAGGGAGAGCCGGACGACAGGCGAGGACAGTTACAAACCGTGGTCTGATTCTGGAGGACAGAGGCCTCCCCCATCTTGTCATTTCTCATACATGCAGTGAGATGGGGAACAGCCATCCCTGAAGGAAGACAAGAGCCCAGCGCAATATAGGAGGATACAAAAAAAACAGGAAGAAAGAGAAGAGCAGAGGATTTAGATTGCTTGGAACCAACATGAAGGAAGAAAAAGGAGAATTATTGTGTTGATTTTTCAATGAAAAAAAAAGTGTTTATTTGATCATTGAGTCATTCAGATTAAAGAGACAGTCCAGGAAACTTGCCCAAACCCTTCAGTGGAAATCATCAGTTACAGAGAAACAGTCCTGGACCCAAGCACACACACACACACACACACACACACTCGGACACACTGACTCACACACACCTAAACATGTGGACACAGAAGCAGCAGAAACCCAAAGAAATACAGACAGTGAGACTCACACCCACAACAAAAGCGTATGAAGCAGTTTTACATTGCTGACAGAAATCAAATTAAAATACTGGCAAGACTGTCAAAGGTTGTGGCAACTAAAAGTACAAACAATGATCCAAAAATATACAAGTTCACATGATGTCATATCGGTGCAGGTTAAGACAGCACATTCTTAGCGCAAATAAAATTACATTGACAAACGTTTCAAGACAGGCAAACGTATCTCCACTCATAAAAAAAGGTAACAAAAAGAAAGCATTTATGATGACTCGTGACTATCAATCCAAAACTGGTCAGTACGATAAAAAAAAAGGAACATTCCATAAATATTATGGAAAATAGACAATAGAGGGGACAAAGCCAAACAAATCCAATTCACACTTTTGACAAGTTCATGCAGCAATAGACTTTTTAACCATTAATATGTGGCTTCCATCATGGCTATGTACACGGAACAAAAATACTTGTAAAAATGCCTCTATTCTTTTCATCACTGTACAAAAACGTTTATATAATTGGAGCGACTCTTTTTAAATGGGGATGGGTGGGGTTCCTATCGTCACAGCTTCTCAATGACATTAACAGTGGGTGCAAATAAAATCCATGGATAAGTGAGTAATGCCAAGCACAGTATAGTGAGATTTTCCTCTTCAGAATCGCCTTTTTCTTCTCAATACAGTTCTTACTTAAAAACCCCCTCAAAGAGTTCAGTAGCTTACATTCACCTTCAATAAATATCATAAATACGCTTGTGTCACGTCCTAACCAAAGCTGCGAGATGTCCCATTTTAGCATGGGACGCAATGGATCAAGTTGTCTTTTCCTCCTTAATGCTAATTCTTAATGAGGAATTACAGCCCTCAATATCACTTCTTTCTCACAAAAACACTGATTTCTCATAACTCTGCTCATTCAAACTCTGTAAACAGTTTCTGTCTTTGTGTAGCACTGACATCACACCCACCACCTTTCGGAAAAAAGTCCCAGCAGAGTGCTTTTGCTCAGTGGCCAGAAGGTGAAAAGTGACAGCGGGATGACATGGAAACAGAGCAGGTGACAGCAGGAGGGGGCGACAGCACCCAGAGGAACAACCTCCATCCCTGCTCCCCCCCTCCCTGAAAACAAATCCCAAAGCCCAGTAGTGACCTCCACCAGAGAGAGACCCAAGACCAAGCACCCCTCCCCCCTCCCTGGTGGGTTTGTCCCAGGGATGGGTGAAGGGTCCTGGGAGGGTGTTAAAGTTCTTTCCCCTTTCGACCCACCACCGTCCGCTGGGTGTCTTAGGGCGTGAAGATGGGGGAGAACGGAATGTTTTCGTAGATAGACCCACCATATTCGGGCACAGAGCCATCACCCCTCTTGAGCACCAGATGGACGCGCCGGCCCCCGCTCTTGATGAGCTCGATGGCTCGCGCGTGCTTCATGCCCTTGGTGCTCTCGCCGTTGATCTCCAGGATTTCGTCGCCGACCTACGGAGGAAATAAAGAAGAGGGAAGAAGGAGAGGGGAGGGGAGAGGGAGGGGAGAGGAGAGGGGAGGGGGGAGGGGAGAGGCAAAAGATGGGAGGCAGAGACAGAGTGACAGGTGAAGATGGAGGGACAGAGAAAGCCAGAAGAAGGAGAGGAGATAGCAGAGGAAGATAACAAGTGTCGGAGGGGAAGAAAGCACACGAGAGGAAAGATGAGAGGCAGGGAGGTTCAAAGGGAGTGAAGACAGCAGAAGGGAGGGAGAGGGAGGACAGATTGAGGAGAAGTTACATTTCAAATCCTAAATGGCACAACAGCAAAAACAATGTTCACTACATTCTCTATATGTAGGGGGAAAGTCAGCAACTGTGACTCCCAGAGAGGAGAACAAGAGAGAAACCCTTTCTGCTTCCCGCTCCTTTGCCTCCAGTTCTCTGACAGTCTGCCCACTGACACCTCTCTGCCTCACAGAGCTGCTGCTAATCATATCTCTGCTAATAAGGTGCACAAACACACACGTATGTATTTATATACGAACGTGCTAATACATGTATGCCCACACACTTCCCAACTGTTGCTAATAACATACATCAAAATCTATTTGATGATATAGCTCACATGCCAACAGGCTCTCTGCAGTAAACACATAAGGGAGTATCAATGAACCCTGTATTGCATATTAAATAAAGCAGCCCAGGGGAAATGCCATTAATCAATTCAAAGGTTAAATATCACCGTTTCGTGACAGCTTCTGTAGTGTATACATGCCACTTCAAGAGCCAGTAGAGAAGTGTTTATTCATTTCAATGTTCATTCTCTGTACACAGGTATGCTCCATGACTGCAATGTTTGCCTTGTTTTGGTATTGCACACACAATGAACCTGAAGCCTGGAGGGACCGTGTTTATATTCAGTGGAGCATGGCTTGCAGTAATTGAGAGGAACATTGTGCACAAGCAATTATATTGATAGACAATATTATTCTGATGGCTGTTTGGGTCTATGAGGCAGTTATTACCAGCCCTCTTGTTAATCAACACAGTCAACGGGCTTACACAGCACCGGAGAGTGGTGACTCATCATATCAGTATGAAAACATAATCACAATCTAATCACTTTTGAGACAGCTCTGCCCAAACCTCACATCTCCAATTTGTTTTAGACAAACTGGAAGATTACGTTTTCTTTTATGAGCTGAGAATACTCTCCAGCTTTTTAAGTTAAATAAACCCTTAAAAAGCTATTCCATGATCTGACAAATGAACTGTTCCAGAGCTATAAAACAAGGCAGTTTTGATCGAGCAAGAGGCATGCAAATGTCTCTTGCTCAGCTCATACACCCTCTTATACATCATCCCCTTCTCACTGTTTCCAAACAATGACAGTGATGACTGGTACGTACTGATTTCCTCACACAGGATCACAACACATGGCAGGATATGGAAGTTAGAAGCTACTCAAATCGAGTACAATGAACTTCAACAGTCAGCAGGACTTGATATTTCATTTGAATAAGGTCAACTGTCGAAAAAAATGCAATGTTGGATCGAAAGAAAGCAGCTTAATAAAGCAGCAAATTAGTATTGCACTTCAACAGAGCTGGAAGACTAGATCTATGCAGCTGAGGCAGAGAGATCCTGACTTTTACTCAATATTAAGTGTCAAGCTCCAAAATGGCTATACCCTACAACTCAACAGCTGTTCCAACATTTACATTCAGCAGCACTCATTTGTAAAGCAGACCTTTCTTCATTAATTCATAGTCTTCAAGCCTGTTTTCCTAAATGTTAAAACTCTTCTAGAGGCATAAACAACAACTGTTTCAGATTATAAGTAAAACATCCTATGACTGAATGATTCCCTTTTTGATATGAAGGAAAGCTTAAGCAAAGTATGTGGCATCTTCTATTTGTTTAAAAGTGGTCCTATGTTTGAAGTGTTTGCTGCTTTGGTGTGTGAAAGCTGTTGTACAGTGTGTGTGTGTGTCCTTACCCTCATCTTTCCATTGCGGACGGCCGCTCCTTCCTCAGCTAGCCGCAGCACGTACAGGTCCATGTTGTATTCTCTGCCCCCCCGCAGGCTGAAGCCAAAGCCTTTGTTGTCTCGGTCCAGGTCCACGGAGTAGAACTCAGAATCCTGACACACACACACACACAGAAAGAAAGGGAGGGAGAAAGAGACATCAGGGTTTGTGATTCAGATTTGAAGTGTGTGTGTGTTTGTGTGTCCTTTGAAGTGGGCTTCTATTTCAGGAGCAGGGGACAAATGCCACCCTTCAGGAAAGTCACACCGATGTGTGTGTGTGTGTGTAAGTACATGCATATGCTCATGTGTAAGGATGCTGAATTATTGATGCTCTGGGTGGACAAAGAGAGAGGCAGAGAGAGAGGGCAGAGAGAGAGAGAGAGAGAGAGAGAGAGAGAGAGAGAGAGAGAGAGAGAGAGAGAGAGAGAGAGAGAGAGAGAGAGGGGCCGGGCAGCGCGAGGACAGGCAGACAGCCCCAGCAGCTCCTGTCTTCCCGCCCTCCTAATCTCCTCTGCGGGGCGATCAATGCTATCTGAGCGCGCCATCTCCACACCGGCAGATGAATGCAGCAGCGAACACGCTGGACTGAGGGTAACTTTGAAAGCTAACAGGCTTTCCTTAATGCAGATAATGCAGGCAGGTGGAGGAAAAAGGAATAATAAATAAATAACAATGCACTCTGCTCGTCCTTGGGAAGATGGGTGGGTGAATGCATGACAGGGGGGAGGAGGTTCGGGTGCAGGAACAGCTGAATGGATGTTTGAAAAGATAAATGTGGAGGTGGGTATTGAGCTGTGTGTGGTATGAAATGGACGGATGCATGAATGAAGCGGCAGGTGAATGGATGTCCCGGTGTCCTTCCTTACCTGAGCTGAGACTTGTGTGGGGGGCTGGGGAGGAGGACCCTGTGGTGCTTTGAATTCAAACGACTCCTGTTTTGGTTTGGTGTTGTTCCTGTGGCAGAAAGAAAAAGCAGTCAGTGTCAAATATTACAGATGTAATCGGTGATTTGAAGTGTCTCAGGCAGTTCATTGTGAATTGAATCAGCATATTTTTGACACTGCCTTTTAAAAATAAATGGACTTGTTTTGTACAAATACTCTGTTTCCCAGTGTGCATCTTACCTGGCCTCAGGGGCAGCCTGTTGCTGAGGTGTGTGAGTGGTGGTAATAGTGGCGATCTTCTCCGCATTGGTCAACAAAGACGCATTTGATGACTCTGTGGAGGGTGAGAGAATCCACATTATTGCTTTCAGTCTCAATCCCTTTTCACACAGTTCAAAATCCTTTCTTCCTAATGAACATATAGAACATCTTCTTCACTGAGAACATGTTATTGGATTCCCATACAGCTTCTTGTGTCATTCATATAACTTTATATAACAAATACTCCAATGGAAGTGTCTCTAGAGTTCTGAAGGACTCAGAGTGTGATTAAATCAATATTTCACATGAGGAGCATTTTCATTTTCAATGTTTTTACACTGGTGTAGAAACATTAGCAGAACCTATGGGGACTAGCAGCAGCTCCACCAGCCTCTGGGCTTCCTCCACCACTTAGCCAAGATTGGGACACGAGAACAAAACGTTTGTGCCATCAATCATTTTGACGTGATGCATGTCAAATTGTGTTTCTTTTCCAAAAGATATAAATCACACTGTGGACTGAAACTCTTCCTGTCTGTCTGTGAATTGTCAATCAGCGCACACTCGCAGCCTCTGAGGACATTAAAGCTGCTATTCATTCTTCCTTTTATCTTAACTCTGTTATCAATGAATTACACTGGGCTCTAACGACACAAGCCTACTGCCATTACATTACGCTTGTCGCATAGAAAAACCTCTCTTCTCATTCGCATCCTTATCTTCTGCGACTATTAACAGATATCCTTCATCCGATAACGGCTCTCTCCTCACTCACTATTCCTCTCACAGGCAGGTCTCCTTTCATCTTCTCATCTCGCCTTCACCTCCATCAGTCCCCTTAGAGCCTGCTGGCTTAACACTTTGATTGCTCGTTGACCACATGGTACAAATCAAACAGCCGGGCTGCAGCGTGGGTTGGGTGAGTGTAATTTAACACTACCTACAGTAGAACCATAGGTGTAGGCTACAGTGTGATGGTTGTCCACCCATAAGAACTCCTGGTATCTACTCTATTAGCACCTCACATACTTTCTGTCGCTCATTTTCCCATTTAAGCCTCAAATGTATCCCTGAAAACCCTATTCGCCCCTCCATCTGCTCGTTTGCATAACCCACTCCTTCCATCCTGCTGCCTCTCTGCATTTATCTCTCCAACTGTTTTCCTGTCAGGCAAATTAGTCGAATTAGCTCCGTGTTACTCTCTCTTCCGTTACGCTGGCAACCCACTGCCTCTTTTCTCTCCTTCAAAACATTCACAGCGCAAAAAATAAACCACTAATAATTTCTCTCTGGCGCTGGCAATATGCCCTTGCACTGAATGGCAGTAGAGCAGGTACAATCAAATAAGAAATTCAGAACAGATAAGAGAAGTCAGACAGCATTTTCACACAATATACACGTTTCTTTGCACATCATATCACCTGAGGCACGTCTGTCTCTCTCTCATACACAATAGGAAGCAACAAGGTGTGCCAGGCCTCAAGTCTACGCTGCAGAGACACACGCTTTGATGGGAGCATTTTTGTGCATTATTTACAGCGCACCAGCAGGAAGAGTTCCTGTTTTCCTTGTCATTGCAGACTTGAGCATCAGTCGCTACAAAACTCCACCTGTGTTCCTACACAGGGGAGCAGTGAGCTCAATGGAAACGTCACCTTGGAAGAACCTCTCGCTGTGTTATTTATTCATGTTGGAAAGTTTGGACAAGCTTGATCCACACAAAAATAAGGGTGCTCAGTCATGTGCAAACAGAGGCAGAGACAAAACTCAGAAACACAAGCCACAATCTCTCCCTGCCACTCTCTTTGTCTCTGTGTCAGACGCCATCTGATTGTTTGACATATAAACACAAACCAGAACTTTCCGATAACGCACATCCAGTTATTTCTCTCCGATGTCTTCTCTCTTGCTCTCGATCTCTTTTGTGGCAGAGCAATTTTGTCTCAGGGGGGGAAAAAAAACAAGAAAAAAACTCTTCATCCATAAGATGTGAGCCGGAAAGCAACGAGCGTCGGACAAATAGCTCCAATTTCTTCCCGAGCGCAGGTTGACAGGGAGTATCGCCTTGTTCGCACACACACACACACACACACACACACACACACACACACACACACACCATCAAGGACACACAACACACACACACACACACACACACACCACACACACACCCAACACATCACACACACACACTCAAGCACACGACAACAAATACACACACACACCACACACACCAGCACACACACACCACGACACGAACAGCTTACCCGACAGCACACACACACCACACAACGACACACACACCACCACACACAGCACACACACACACACACACACACACACACACACACACACACTTAATTAAACAGCATTTGTGAAGCATGCTAGGGTGATCTGTCAGCACAAAATTGCGAGAGCTCTCAGCTGCAGCGAACAACATACAATGAGCACAAACTTTTCCTTAAAACCACTTTAGACTTAAGATACACCCACAGAGGAAGGTCTGCCTCTCTCTCTCTCTCTGAGACACACACAAAAACACACACCTATCCATCATTTAAAGTAGAGAAAGTTCCTTAAAATCCCCAAAGAAGCCGTTCTGTCAACACTGCCGGGGCGTTCAAGGCACTGTGAATAAACTGTAAGATTGATATAACCCTACAGGCATACATAATAACCACTCAGGAAATTGATGACTTGTCCTGCAGCTCAAAGAAACTCAGACTACATAATAATACTTAAAGTTGATCGCGTTGTCGCAAAAGTCTGCAACCTTAGTTGAACCTTTATGACCTGGAGCCTGCTAAATATTGTGAGTCAGAATGTGCTGTTTGGCAAAATCCCTCACTGTAGCAAGGACTCTGAAGGCATCCCTCAGGTTGCTGGTTCCCAATCTTGGTATTTCTTTTAAAAGAATTGACTAATAAACAAATGACTAATTCAAATGAGCTTTAAGTAAAGTGTAGTCCTTCCCTGTCCCTCCCTACTCACCGTCCCCGGGGATGATGCGTAGTGTGACGGTGTTCCCGGCCTCCTTGATGAGGTTGACGATGTCAGAGTGGGACTTGTTGGTGATGGAGCAGGAGTTCACGGCCAGGATGCGGTCGCCGACCTTCAGCTTCCCGCAGCGGTCCGCCGGGCTCCCCTCGATGATGCGCCCTATTTTGTGGGGCATGGCCACACATGCATTGCCAGCTATGGTCACCATTGACACGTTGTGATTCAGTGTGTGTGTGTGTGTTTGGAGAGAGAAGGGCAAGGAATTGGGAAAGGAGTAGAAAAAGAGGATCAGAAGAATAAGGGTTAATTCACCGACAGCCAGCAGCCAAGGCGCAGTCCCTGAGAGAAGCCGTTCGGGAGAGAACGAATGCAAGCGTTGGCAAAGAAGGGCAAAGTGAGCACCGCAAAAATAATCTGTCACTCTTATTCCTCTTTGGCCTTTACCTGTCAATTGTTTTTTCAAACGAGTCATTGGGAAACGTATCTTCCAATGTGCTTTCTAGAGCTGCTCCTGCGCCACATTTCTGAAAGGGCTATCATTATTATATTTGCATGAGAGCCTCTAAGCAAATAATAAACCGGTGTTGTGTCGTCTGCATCCCAAACACCTGGATCCGCAGAAAGACGACATTCATCAAAGCTGACATCTCAGCAGCTACCCTGAGGTCTCTCTGTTTATTTTCCTCCCTTCCTCCCTCCTTTCCTATGTCTGCGGTCTGACATCAGTCTCTGCAGAGAAGAGGAACATGCAATCGCTCCTTCCTTTCACCATCTTCTTTCATATTATCATCCACCTCTTCCCTTTCTCTCGATTATTCCACTATTATACTCGTCTAACCAGGACCACCTCTTCTTTTCAACTCAATCTAGCTGTCAAATATTGAGTAAAAAGTAAATGAACGGAGAGACAAAGAGAGAGTAATACTCTGGCATTTCTGTATAAAACCAGTGCTGCTCCAGTATGTGTGGACTGGTTTCACGCAGCCACTGGGTTTCCCCTGGATTTTTACATTTCAGGTCAAATGAAGCTCATCTGCTGGCCCATGCATTTGGCTCTGCCCTGTGAGAAAGAGGAGCTTTGCTACTCTGTAAGCTGACCTGGAAAGTTGAGCATTTTCAGACCTTTTCAGTCCACCCACACTGACAGAGATAAGAGCACAGAGGAGAGAGGGAAAAGCCATAGTGGTGCAGGCATGAAGGAAGTATAGAGCGCACTGCATAGAAAAGACACTACTTGTTTGTAAAAAGCAATATCGCCAGCTTTATGGCTAGTTAACAGTGTCTTAATTGTTTCTGATTAAATAACCTCAAATATGTAGACGGGGTAATTTTGTAGGTCAGTCCATCTCTCTGATCCTACCTTGTTAAATAAATAAATATGACTCACACTGATCACTTCCCCATATTACCCTGCCTGCAGCACGCATTCTCATTAGGCTTTTAGTGCCAACCTGCTGGGCAGAAGCCATTTAAGTTGAGCTGAATAAAACAAATGTCTTATGTAAGACCCACTTCACTTGTGATCAATTATGAAAGCTTTGTGTGAGTGTAGCAGCAGCTGCAGGGCGGAGAAAGGGTTTCAGTGGCACGACTTGACGGGCTCAAGATGAAAATGAGAAAGAAGAACCTCTGCTTTGAAGTGGAGTGTTGGTATTGATCTGGTGGGATTGTAAATAGCCAGAATCGGTGCTGGTTGTCAGGCTGTTTAGTGTTCAGAGGTTTCTATAGATGATACAAAGGCAGCCCACAAAGAAGACAGGAAGATAAAAGGCTCCAGCGATGAGAGAAAGCTTTGAAGTGTGTTTTTTTGTTTTGCTGAGTGAATCAAATCTTTAAGAAATCTGCATGTTCCAGCAACAAATGTGTGTGGTATTTCAAACAAATAATGACATCTCTTACCAAAGGTGGTGCCAGCTTCGGGCCGCGACACAGAAGACACGATGACGAAACCGAATCCTTCGCTCTCTCCGCGGCGGATCTCCACGTCGTAGGGCTGCATGGTGGAGGGGGCGTTGGACATGACGATGGGGGGCTGAGAGGAGTTGGTGGTGGCTGCAGCCGCGGCGATGACGGCGTTACCGCTGCCGCCCGCCCCTCCGCCGCCGCCTCCCCCGCTGCCGATGCCAGAGGTGGAGCCGCTGCCGGAGCTCACGGTGTTCAGAGAGTTCTGGCTGCCCTGGGGGTCGCGCTTCCCCATCTCCTCCGTCAGGCTGGGGGCCTGGTTGCTGCTGTGGTGGGAGGACGCCGGCGATGGGGGCACGTCTCCTTCTGCTTTAACTAGAGATGGCAGAGGAGGATAAGGTGAGAAAGATGCATGATATTCAGTGAAGGGTGGAAGAGGAAGTGGTATTTAGGAGAAGATAAAAAGACACACATTGCAGACAGGGTGGTGAGAGAGTACAAACTGAGGTGGTGACGCAAGAACATCGACAAGAGAACACATATTATGCCAGACAGTGTTGCATAAGAAGTTCAGGAGATAATAGAACAGAAAAAAAGCTGAATAAGACACCGGTGCATATTACATCAAGATATGATGACAACAGAGCTAAGTGTTACATCATCCGTGCAATCTGACAACATAAAAGATTGTAAACAAACACAGACAGGTTTCTTTTCCTATCACAGCCAGTTTATGCTGATATGGTGAAAGACAAGCTGGCGAGGGAGCTTGGGAAGAAGAGCCTCTCCAACAATCTCTCCTCCGATCTGTTTCCGAACAAAAGATGAACTAAAGACGCGGCCCCGCCTCTGGTATCCGGACATTTCATTCCACATTTCATTTCCTGTACAGCTGCTCGCGAAAGGCGCCTCATATTCTCAACGCTCTGAGGCAGACGGGGAGCAGAAATGCGCTAATGTCTGTCCGCTGTCGCCGGGACGAAGGTTGACCACCCTCTTCATCATATTTATGGGTCTTTCTTTATCGCCTGCCAAGGAGCAGGGTGGAGCCGAGCAGCGCAGGGAAATGTGCTGGTGGTAGCAAAGGAGCACTTTCAACAGACCATTACCTAGCAAGGCAACACCTGCACATAGCAAACATGGCCCTGCGCCTCTGGGGAAACAGCCATTGATACAAACGGGGCCCTTAGCGATTACATTTAAAAAGTGTTTTTCATATGTATCTATGTGTCTATCTTTAGGTCTTTTACAGCTTAGGCCCCTCCCTCTTTCTTCTTACCGGTGTAGGTGGCTTTGCGTCGCACGGTGAGGTTGACGTGGCCCTGCTTTGCCGCCTGCTGCATCAGTTGCACCACCAGTTGGTGCGACTTGCCGACCACTGCGGTGCCGTCCACGCTTACCAGTTCATCTCCGGACCGCAGGCGCCCGTCTTCGTCTGCCGCGCCGTATTTCACTATGTGTCCGATGTAGATCTGAAAACAAAATATATATATGAAAACGTAAAAAAAGAAAGAAGCTTGTAACGGCACAAAATCGAGGCTATCATAAGGGTTTCTGCAAATACGGTTACTCATTGATCCTTTAATGAGGCAGGATTTATTTCAATTCAACAATTCATGTCCCAACTTCTGAAGCAGGACTATAGTTGGCATGCAGTACAGGTCTGCTACAATTTAAATCACACTGTTAACTGTTCTCCCAAAGCCTGCAACTGTTTTCACCACAGCTCAATAGTTAATCATTATTTCGCTTCCTTTCAAAAATGCAATGCAGGCCAGTGAACAAGAACAAACAACTTTGCCTATTTAGGAAAGAGAATAAAGCAGTGGTGTGTGTGTGAGAGACGGGTGGTCTTCTGTTTACATTGGCCGGATCAAGAGAGGACGCAGATGAAGAGAAAAACACAAATCTCAGACTGGTGCTGGAAAATAGCATATATTTCATCATTCTGTGGTTTATCCATTTCACACAAAATATGCTGTGAACATTGAAAAGCAAACCAGAGGGAATGAGCTGTAAGAGATAGAAAGTGTGGGAGAAACTCACCGGCTCCCCGGGCTCGTTGCCTCCGAGGATCCTGAAGCCGAACCCTGTGTCCTTCCTCCACAGGAAAATGTCCTGCTCTTGGAAGTCTGGAACTGTGAAATCAAAAGAGCAACATTAACATTTCTGCATTAATACCAGCAGCCAGCCCAGAGAGACTTCCTGCGCCAAGGCAAGAAGAACTCAGCCATTAGCCTCAAGTAAAAGTCCCTCTTCACCACCCTATTCAGTCAAAACCTCATGCTGGGCTGGAATCAAACCCCCCGCCTGCTTATTTCAACATGCAAATATTCCTCCTTCCAACTGTTCCAAGCTTTGTCACTAAGACGGCACTTTGCACAAACAATCTGTCTAGAGGCTTTGGGAAAGGTGTTTGTTCTTGCCGTCAAAAGATCAGACAGATCTATTTTGGGTAAAGAGCAGAGGTATGGAGCTTAAATAAACTCTCAGAAGCAAGACAGGCTGCCAGAACAATTCAGCGCACCCTCTTCATGGGTCCCATAATTAGAAACCATCAGGCTGAAATTCCAGTCTGAAGTTAGGAGAAATATCATCCTTTCCTTTTTTTATTCTTAGCTTTTTTACTAGTAATTACTATTCTAATGCACAACACTGTTTCTTTTATGAGGCGAAGTGTGACATGCAACTCTGTTTCTACTCTTCCATAATGTAAGGAAGCACTTTCCAGAAAGAGGTGCTAATACATGCTGGAACATGCTATATATTATTTACTGTAGTTAGCTGACAGCCCACTCCCATCCACAAGAGAAAGAATTGTGTGTGTGTGTGTGTGTGTGTGTGTGTGTATGTGTGTTATTCACTAGAGAGATGCTGTGCTCAGCATTGGAAATGATGGGAGGTAAGGGGCTCAAATTCCCCAAATAATCTTAGAAATATTTCGCAAATAACTGAGGGGGGAAAAATGGCTTTTAAGAATAAAGAAAAAAATATGTATTTACCAGTTAGGCAAATATCCTAATCCTGTTTTATCCTCATCCAATTCCTTTTAATTATATGCATTTAAGGCACTGTTTTTTTGCCCCACCAAATGTCGACAGTGGTGGCAAACATTGTCTTCAAATATGTCTCCAGGCTGTGCTATAAAAGAGGCATTGATCTGCTGGCTGACAGCTCGTGGTTCTTGTTGCAGTGAATGTGGGGGGCTCAGGGGGGCCAGGAGCCAGTGGAGAGACGGAGCGAGCGTGCACGTGTGTGGCCTCATCCCGGCGTAAACATGAGCTTCTTTGCTTTAGATGTGTGTATATACTTATTCATGTTATGTGCATGCATGTTTGTCCGCAGCTGTGTTGTGCGGGCTGACAAACATGCACCTCTGAGCACACTCCCAGGGAGATTTCCTCCTTGCTCCAACACGCTGCTGCCAAGGCCACTAAAGCTACTGAGACGGCGGGCAGGGTGGCAGAAGGCACAAACAGCCTGCTCCCAATCTGTTCCTTCAGTCAACAGTTGAAATCCCTGCGGAATAAAGCTATCCCTTCCCATCCATCACGATGTAACAGTGGAGGAAGTGGGAGAGGAAGAGTCAAGAGGGTAACTGTTGCAATCTGCACCTTCACTCGCTGGGTTCAACTGCTCAGTTACACCTTGCTGTTGTCGATTAATAGATCCATATGTGATTCCCACAGTGAGGTAACGGGGCGTGAATGGATCAATATTTTACAAAGATGTACGGACCTGTGCTGAGCTATGTGTTAGGACTGCAAATACCAAGCCAGGTGGTTCAGAGAGTGAGGACATTAAACTGGAAGCATGTTTACACCAGACAACAGGCCTCAAGCAGCAACAGTCTCTTAAACGTATCTTTTATTTTCCCTTATTTTTGTCCAGCAGCTTCAAATGCTCTTAACCATCTTAATCTGCTGTTACCCCGGTGTGCTGAATGATAAGACTCACTTGATCATAAAGTAGAGGCATGAGGCTGATTTTCTTTTATTTTTTTAGCATAGAGAAAACGTTAAAAAGGCAGGTGTAGGGCCTTGTGCAAATACTTTGGTAAAAATGGAGATTACCTCTAAAAGAAAAAGATGTAAGAAGAACAAGAAATGGTGTTTACTTGCGTTGGACAAAAGCATTTGTGGACGGTGAAAACAAGATGAATTTTCTCATCTTGGTAAGAGTTCTCACGCCAATTTGTAAAATGCTCTATTAAGAGCAAAGGAAAAATAAGAAAACACAGTTGGAATTGTTCGCTTCTTGCATGAGACCAAGTAATCAAAATGAAGGCCAGGCAACTTCCCTATCCTCTGGCCTAGATTTTTAGAGCAAGTTCTTTGGAAATGTTAAAATCATTCACCACATGGTGTGTTTAAAGACCTTGATCTCTGCGAAACTTTTCATTATAGTGAATGTGGCGTAGAGAAATGTCTCTGCTGCAGCCGAGGCCTGGGCCCAATGGGGCGCGCGCAGCAGGACCTCAGGATGAGAGCTCAATGCAGCGTGAGGAAACGGAGGATTTAAACCTGCAGGTACAGGTCACTGTCCTCCCTGTCCTTCTCTCTGGGCTCCTTTCTTCTTCCCTTTACCTTAGAATCTCTTGATCCCTCAATGTTGGAGCTTTCTCTTTCATTTCCACATTTTTGTCATTTCCCCCTTTGGTATCCTTTGTGCTCTCTTTGAGGTGTGTCTCCCCCCCCCCCCCCCATTTGCACTGAGCAAACTGGCTCAGGCAATTTAGAAAACCCCTGCTGAGACTCCATCACCTTAGGACAGGTAAATGAAGACTTAATCTCCCCCTTCGTCTTGGTTTCTTCCAGTCCTCCTGACTATTCTTTATTTCTTTTATAAATCAAACACTATAGTCTTCTGTCTGCACTTTGAGCGCACGTTCAGCCCTTCTCTTCACACTCTTTTTATTAGGCATCTGAATAATGAAAATCCTTGACAAGTGGTGCATAATAAGTTATTAGATGTTTCTTGGCCCTTGCAGACTCCTGCTTTTTCCCTTCCTCCTGGTTTTTTATTTTTTTGTTACTTGACAGAGGATGTGAGGGTTATTCTTTTTAATTGGAGCTTTCCCTTTGCAAAGAGGAGGGGGGTATGCAATCCGCTGACATCGACTCTACAACTGCAGCTAATTATACGCCTGTGTGTCTGTTTAGGGAAGTGTAGTGTAAAAGTGTGTCAATGGTGGCAGTGTCGACATTTGGACCACAGTGGCACCTACAGTAATAGCTTTTAAACGGCTGGACAACGAACGTGCTGCTTTTAAATGCCGCTTGGAAACAAATGCCAACTTTGTGGCTTTGAAGAACTGATTTGAAGATGAATAACTCATTTTTCCAGCTGTGCGTTAGATGTCTGTGTGTTAAATATTAAGCTGGAGCCAGCGGGCGATTAGCTTGGCAGAATATGTGATTATTAGTGAATATATGTGCGTATAAATCAGTTACTTACATGCACAAGTCTTATCCCAGATTTCGCTCCAAAGCGTGCACACACACCAAGGGTCTCCCTGATCCAACAGCCCCATGCAGCCCTCATCCAACCGCCACCAAAAAGTATATACTTACGCCTACTTTCATACATGCTCCTGGACTGGGCCCAGATCTTAAAGGGGTCCGGTTTTCTTTGGATGGTCCCGTCTGCCGGGGAGTCCTGGGGCGGCAGACCCGGCAGGGGCTGAGAGGGGGGCGGGGGGGCGATGCTCTCGTTGAGAGTGGGCGCCAGGGACGGGTGCACAGGCGAGTCTGTGTGGGCGCTCCGGTGGCTGGAAACGCTGTGCTGGGAGCTGTTCTGACTGTCTTTCCTCGACAATTGCTGTTGGAGAAGCAGATCAATATCATTTGCTAATTGTAACAGAGACACACAAAAAAAAAAAAAGGTTATTGCATGCTCAGCAGCGGAAAGACAATCTGGTGAGAGGAGAATCAGTGGGGTGAGAAATAGAAGACAGAATCATTTCAGATTAGAGATCAGAAAGATGATAGATGGCTGCTCCGTGGGGTAGAACCTGAGTGTATAATGTCAACCATTGTTATGTTGCGACTGACACAAACAACGATCAACCGGTTTGATCCAGATCATTATTTTATCACGCAAAGGGAAAATAAAGGACCACAATGGTTTCTCATGATTAAGTCAGTCAGCTGTGGGAGAAAACAACTGTAGCTTAACTTACGAGAGCACATTGCTTAGTCCTTTTGTTTAACACAGAGGAACTGCATCCATTGCTGCATCTGGAGGGATATTCACAGCGAATAAAGCCCTTGTGTGGTGTTTGAAACGAAGCTGGGATCCAACTGGTGGAGCCAGAAAATGTAAAACCCCTCATAAATTGCCACTGGCCCCTCAATAACATGGGCACTTAAGCACCTGCTGAAGGGTTTGAAGGGAGCGGTGCTTGAGCAGAGTTAAGCACATACAATCCTGAGCAGAAGTACAAGAAGAAATCCTTCCCATGACCCGTGTCACAATAAATCTTTCTTTACAGTCCCATCCTCATTACTTTCAAAAAAATGGCACTAAAGGGAGAGGGTTACAAACGGAGCGTGAGAAACAAAAGGATATATTTTAAGACGACAAGAGAAAACCACTTCAGTTCAGTCTCTTTGCATCATGTGACCTCCCAGTTCTTTGGATGTGGTGGACAAAAATACACCAGTAAGAAGGACGGGGGCGGGTGGCTCATCTGCTCTTAGATATCAAAGTGTTTGGTCTTCAAAGTGCAGTCTTCAATACATTCACACTCATCACTTGCCGAATCAGCCTATACACCTCTGCAATTCATGTATATATTCATTCACATTCAAACATAAAAGAGGCTTGAAGCTTGAGCTAATATTACGTTAAAAGCTGTGGATACGAGTGTAACATCACTGGGTTTTTGTGGGGATGTAAAAATCAAATGATTTATATAATTAGTAACAACTGCAGGCTAGGTTTGGTGCTAAAGTCCGAGCTCAGGACTGATCCTTCCCTGACCTCATAATGATTTTTTTGGACGCTTTCATTCCATCAAACAAAATGGAGCCTCCATTAGCCAATGCGGCAGCTTTCTTTTTTGGTTTCTCTCACTTTGATGTACACAAAGTCCAAATCCCTTCCCCCTACTAAATGAAAACAAATCTCTTGTTCTTGATGGATCCATTAAATGTGACCTTCTGCAGTCACTGTGTTCTCCCTCTCCCCCGGGACTGCCCTAATACATTGGTTTCTGCTGCTCCAATAACTTATTAAGGAGACAGAAGATGGGATGGAGGGAGGGAGGGGAGGGAGGGGGGGGCCTCAGTCAATGAAAACAAATCCTCGATGCTTCCTCAGACTCCTCTTGCCCAGCAGCAGGCCATACTGGGGTTCAGAGGCTCAATGCCTGACAGCATTAGCAGTCCTCTTTAAAGTGTTTTATTGCTCACAAACTACCCAAGATTATCGTCCTCAATGTACCACCGCTATTATCCGCTATAAAAATGCCATACCATCACCATTATCATCTAACATACCCAGCACCAACACCACCAACACCACCTCTTATCTACTTCACATACCCTAGTGTAATCTCTGTATGGAGGAGCCATCTCCGTATGATCCTGCAAAAACAAAATTGACAAACACACGTTCAGTGAGTCAGACAGAGTCATCATGTCTCTGCGTTAATGCAGCGGATGTCACAGGATGAGGCCGACTCTCAGCTGTGATCCTACATTCCACTCTCACACTGCAAGCTTAGCACCCCGCGCGATGCGATCATCAGCGTGTTAGCAACCCAGCTCACGCTGTGCATCAAAGCCCTTCGTCCAAAGCCCCCGCCACAGAGAGGAGGGGAGGGGGGGGGGGGGGCTGATGTGAAGCTACAGGGATCCACCCCCGCAGAGCACAGCATCCCAAACAGACTACAAACAGACCCATAAGCGCAACACAAGTTACACCTTAGAGAGAGAGAGAGTCAGAGAAGAGGTAAGAGAGGAGAGACCAACATCCCTCTGACAGATACACCATGTAGATTGAGACAGGAGAGTGAAGTATAGATGGGAGAGGGGAAACGTGTTGACAACAAAAACAACAACTTACCAGTTTCGGGCTCTTCTTTGCAGGTGCCACCCCTGTGAAGCCAAACAGAAATGGGGAAAAAGAAAAAAAAAGAGAAGGTTACCAATGTAGTTTTAGTTTATCGTCCACGTTCATAGAAAATACAAAAAGAAGAAAACAGATAACGCAGACTCCAAAACAATTTCAGCTCATCTATCCCTCGTCTCCTTCTCCCTCCTTCCCTCTCTTTCCCTGCTCGGTTCCTTTGCTCGCCCATCCGCGGCTGGTGTTAGAGGAGGGAAGGGAGGGGAAGAGGAGGTGGTGGGGGGTGGGGGCAGGCAGCGCGATCTATCTGCACCAGTGCCGCGGCCAGCGCTCGGCCTGACTGGTGCAGCGGAGGACTGGGGGGGCCAGCCTCCAGGGCTACCCCGGCACTCGCTACAGAGCCTGGCTACTCGACGCGTGTGAGCAAGTGTGTGTTTGAAGGAGGAAAGTGAGGAGAGTTTAAGAGGACAGAATCCTGGAGAGCAACTAAGACGGAGAAGAGAGAGGAGAGGAGAGGAGAGGAGGAGAGAGCGAGCTGGAGATCCTGGCCGTAGCATTACCCATGGAGAAGGAGTCCAAGATACTGAACATTAAATTATAGGCAACCGTCAGTTCCCCTCTTACTGAGACCATCTTCCTGTGTCCGCTGAGCGCCGCGCTCCGCTGTCGACGGCTCCAGCATCTATAGGCAGTTGCAGCGTCCTCCCAGTCTCTCCCTTTCCTGCTGCCTTTTCCTTTTTTTCCGCCTCTCTCTCTACCTCACTGCACACTGTCCTCCCTCCCTTTTCTTCCCTCAGCATCATCACCTACCCTCCCTCCCACTTCCCTTCTCACACCACACACACACACACACACACACACACACACACACACACACACACACACATCACACACACACACACCACACACACACACACACACACACACACACACACACACACACACACACACACACACACACACACACACACACACACACACACACACACACACACACACCACACACACACACACACACACACAACACACACACACACACACACACACACACACACACACACACACACACACACACACACACACACACACACACACACACACACACACACACACACACACACACACACACACACACACACACACACACACACACACACACACACACACACACACACACGGGTTTCTGCTTGAGTGAGCGTTGACCAGAAATATCATCGCAGAAACATCATTATCCCGGAGAAGCACATGAAGAACTAAAACGCTAACACAGCCTGCATCTAGCGGGGGGAAATGTGCTCCTTAAGCACATCGCTGCCCTCTCCTCCTCCCTCAACACCCCCCCCCCCCCCCCCCCCCTCACTCCCCCCCTCGACTCTGCATGAAATAAACAGTTGTATGAAGTTATGGAAATGAGAGCGGGAGAAGGAATGCGTGAAACAAAGAAGAAAATGCGAGGCTTGTGGTGTGTATTTACCTCCATAATATTTAAAATACAACAGTGAGACGAGAAGCAACCACACACACACCTCAGCGTACAGGGGTGTGGAACACATGTAGAGCACGAGTAAAACTAGGCGGTGCCTGATCTAAAAATATGGGCCACTTTTGTGTGTCAATCCTTGAGGGAGAGTGAAAGGATAAGATCTCACACACACACACACGCGCTCTTGTCTTCTTTATCTCTCAGACATCTGGGTTCATTCACAAACGACAGCTCCAACTGTGTTGCGTCTGCAGATTTCTTTCCTTCCTCTCCTCCCCCCCCGTCCTCCTTCCCATCATCTCCCTTTTCACCCCCATTTTTCAATCAATAGAAATCATTCATTCAGGAGCACATAGCGATCCCGTAAATCAGACGCAGATGCAAGCTGTCAATCCCGAGTGAATCTCTCCGGCCTGAGCATGCTGTCAGTCAAAGTGTCAGGCTGCCGTTTGATTATCCTTCATCTGCTGCTGCTGCTGTCTGCTAATGTCTCTCAGCACACTCGCTCCCCTGGCTTTTCAAATCAGACACACTGATACTTAAAACGAACACACCCGTGGAAGCCATAAATGCTGTTTATGTCGACTCTGACATAAGGTCGATTCAGGTCTTCGCATCGCACCGACCTTCTTCGAATTTCACCTTGGAAATTAAATGTCTTACTGTAAAAGCAAATGAAAGAATGACATTCATTCAAAGATATGGAGCACATTTAAACTGTTAAAGCTTCGATGCCTTTGACAAACAACGCAATAAAACAGTGCGCATGTCAACAACACATTGTTAGATGGGGGTTTTGTGTGTGTGTGTGTGTGAAGCACCACAGTGTGTTTGAAGCTCCCAGATCAAAAGGTGTTATGGGTGTTGGGGCCAACCTCCAGCGCTAATGACATACAAGAGGGAGGAAAGAGCGCTGTTGGACAGGTGGGCGATCTCGACTGGCCTGTGCAGCAGTGAGAGAGCACCCAATAAATCCTCAGCGCCTCCATCTCTCAAATAATAGACCAGGACCGCTGTTCCTAACCCCCCCTTCAGCTCATTTTGTTCTGCTTACTAAATCTTGAAATTTGTGGCAGAAAATCCATTCTTAACAGTGAGTAATTGAGGACTGCTCAACCTACAGGGCACTACATTGTATATGATATGTGGTTTGGTGATTAATGATATAAAAACTGATTATTGTGAATTCCAATGAAGCAAGAATAATAAAGTATCCAGTGTATTGAGGATAGCAGTAAATATAATGTATTGAGCTTGACAGAAAAACAGTCATCTTGTTTCACTGCCCGAGGAAAAACTCAGGCAGTGAAAATATTTTTTCAGCAGACACAAACTGGTTTTCTCTGTGTAACAGCCCTACAGCTGGTTTAGTTCCAACAGTTTGGGTGCATAACGACAATGCAAAGTTACATCTTTAAGAAAATGTGGTTTTGAAAAATGCATTGACACACAGAGCTTAATATCTGTGCACTTTAACAATGATTTCAGGGATTGAGCAGGGTACGTTTTCCATCAACAGATAGGAACTGTTGCAGAACCCTGGCAGCAAAGCACTCGCTAATCGGAAGCCATTATTAGGCAGATTATGTTGTCTGTCCACAATGCGCCCGTGTGTGTTGCTAGATTTGGGCCAGGAGCGATGGCCTCCGACAGGCAGGTCCATCTGTCACCGTGGTGACAGTGGCTGGTGACCGTGGGGAACTGACAGACGGTCTTCCAAGGAGTGAAAGGCTCGCATCAGCTGGGTACATCAGCAGCCAGGATGTGACAGCAGAGCACAGCTTTATTTAACTTCCTCCATGAGTGTGGGTTTGCGTGTAAAAGGTGAAAGTGAATGTACCAGAGGAGCATACCATTGTGACTAAAGGCAATAAATATATGAGAATGAACAGATTTTTGCAATGAAGATCGTGATGTTTTATCATGATTTAAAAAAAAAAAGATACCTATAGTTTTTCCCTCAATTTAGCCTTCCATGGCTTTTAGAAAGCAGAGGTGAATTCCCACAAATTCACACATTCACCCAGGAGACGACCCCCAGCGCAGATTATCTGCAGAGCATTGTCATAGAAACAAAGGATGGTGCAATGGTGTAGAGTTATAACTCGCCCAATAGAAATGAAGGTGTGAAGGCATGGGAGATTGGTGGGGGTTGAGGGAGAGAGGGAGTCTCCCCATGTCCCCGTGCAACAAGCTGTGATTCACTGGCACCAGCCTCCAGCAAGCCAAAAATGAATGGGCGGTGAATCGTGGGCACCTAGCGGGCGAGCCGCTCCCCCATCATTGCTTTTGAGGACTGCAATGCTGTTCATTATGGTGCCATTGGAGCATGCAGTCAGCAGAATTTTTAATGCGAAGTGGGCAAAAATACGACGCTTCCTGCCCATACAGTGAATTGATTTCCTGACTTTGGTCTGCGCAGGGACCCATCATCGACGTTTATCTCTTCCTAATGGGTGTGTACGAGACTGTCCATATTATATGGGCCTCATGGCTGTGCCTGCCGGTAACTGTGAGTTTGTTTATGTGGGTTATGTAAGTTCACGTAATGGTGAGCCTATCAGTGTTTGTCCTCCCAGAACACTGCTCCGTGGAGTGCTTTTTGACAGGAGGCATTTATAAGCTGTCTGCTCAGTTGCCTAACATTATGCCAATAAAGACTATCTAGTGTGGCAGTGATCCACTTGTTATTTTTACCCTCTTTAAGGCACACGTCCATGAAAGACAGAGGAAAATACGCTTTTCAACCCGTCGTTTGTCTTCAAGGGCACAATGAATCTCTTTCAAACTGTACTTAAAAGGCAAAGCGAGGAAGGGCAAAGAAACATAAACAAGAGGAAATGCACCCTCTTGTGCTTTAACGCTATGGATGCTTTGTAGGTTAATGGCTCCAAAGAGTTATCCGAGTAGCCATGCAGATAATCTGTGTGACATTTGTTTGGGTATTTAGATTGCCATTTATCCAAAGGAGATGGAGTGAAGGGGTTCATCAAATACACTGACATTTGCAAAATAGTCTAACACTGTCAGCCTGTGTTATTTCCTCAACCTGCCATTTGTCCGTCCGCTGGCTACGTGGGAGGGGAGGAAAGGTCCATCCCTCATTTTGAAAGAAGAGGAGAGCGAGGCCTGATTGCCCAGCAGGGACTAATGTGTCACCGCTGATTGATGGGTCATGAAGTGGGGGGAGAGATAGGGAGGAAAGCAGAGCATGATGGGGGTTTCCGTGCCCCTCTTTCATCATCTCTCTGATGCTCTGACATTCTTCCGTCCACCGTTCTCTTCCTCTCCCTTCACCCGCTGCAGCTGTCTTTCCTGACATTTCCTGCACATGGCTACAAGCAGTGGCTGCAACCAAGCTAAATGTACCTTTGGAATTAATCGAAGCACCTGCCAAGCTTTACAAATAAAGAAAAGTACGGGGGAAAAAAAGACTCTGCATCTCTGCTGAGGTAAAATGGCTTTCATTTTTCTGCAGCGGACTAATGACATGAGCTGCTGGGCTACTGGGAGGCTGTGTTTTAGGAGAAAGAAAATAGGATTTTGCTGAGAAAAATATGTGCCGCAGCAGGTGTGCACATCCCTACAGATTCTGTAACATTTAGACCTTTTTTAAAGGGAACAGTGGAGAGGAAATTAGCGTCTGTGCTACGGCAAGACATTAGGGTCCAAAATGAATTATGCCAGCGCATCAGCGAGGGCAGGAGAAGACAGGCGGGGGAAAATGAGCCCATTAGAGCAGTGTAATTAGACAAATGAAAGAACAATGTATCACGAAACACCGACCTGATTGAAGTAATAAATCATGCCTGTGTGCAGTTTATCTGTGCACAACATGTCTTCAAAACCTCTGAGGCTTTTGTGGGTAAGCCATGAAACCCTGTCAAAGTCTCATAACCTGACAATCTGGCCAGTGGGTGGATCTTTCTTCGTATGTACAAAAGCAAAAAAGGTAATTTACAGCTACTGTTGCTTTCTTAGGCGGAGAAAATGAAAGCTAACACCCTCAAAAGAGTTTCACATTGCCAAGTTTTCATAATGAGATCAATGATTTGCAGGTTTCCCCAGGCAGACGGTAACTGGTGTGGCAGAAATACACATGCTCACATTTTCACACCAACTTGTACACATGCTCATACACGGTGAATTTAGGACAGTGGGAGAGGAGGCCCACTGTTGTGCAAGGCAGCGTTAACAAGTGTGTATCTATGAGCGCGTCCGCAGGGATCGGCTCCCATCAGAGCGTGGGCGAGCGGGTGAGAATCTAAACACTGACAGTAGGGGAATGGAAACAGAAAACGTGGGGATGGAGGTTGGGAGGAGGGGCGGTTCTCCACCAATTAAGACAGCGCCAGACTCATTCTGCCTCGAATTCTTAATTGGATGCACGGCTGTTCGCGTTTGAAACTGAGTGTGTGTGTGTGTGTGTGTGTGTGTGTGTGTGTGTGTGTGTGTGTGTGTGTGTGTGTGTGTGTGTGTGTGTGTGTGTGTGTGTGTGTGTGTGTGTGTGTGTGTGTGCCTACATGCACAAGCAGGGTTGGATCATGGAAGAAGACTCTTGATAGATGGAAGGAGAGTGAGAATAAAACAGAGCACAGGAGAGGAAAAAAAGATGTATGTGTATGATAAGCAAAGCTGACATCAGGACCCCAATTAGAGGCCAGTGTGCCTCGATGCTACTGGTGGAGCGAGGCGAGGAAGAGAGAGAGAGAGAGAGAGAGAGAGAGAGAGAGAGAGAGAGAGAGAGAGAGAGAGAGAGAGAGAGAGAGAGAGAGAGAGAGAGAGCTGGAGAGTAATTAAGGCACAGTATCCAGAAGCTCAGTGTATGTTCTAATGAGTGCCACTGTGTGTGTATCTATGTCAGACACATGTGACATATGAATGATGCAGATTGGGTGGCACGTTGACATATGAAAAATAAATCAGGTCTAATAAAGGTCTCCCTTGAAAAAGAGATCTATGATCTCAAGGGACAATCTGGATAAATAAAGGTTTGAAATGAAATGAAATGAAATGAAAATAAATGTGCGATTTAAACAGATTCACCATTCAACATGTGCACATCCGGAGGACAGGGAGTGTGTGGGAATTCAGTGGGAGGAAGAAAAACAAAGAGATACGCTCAGGGCGATATGTCCATGAGGCTTTTATGGAGCAAAGGTATTTGATCTTTTTCTTTGACTAATTTACAAACAAATATAAATATACTTTATTTTATATTTGTAATGCCACATATGGTCTATATGTGGTCTAGTGTAGTGGCAAATCAGGTCTAGGTGAGAATGAATCTATTATACAAGCTTTCCATTGTCAGAAGATACAGTTTCTGTCAATTTGATGATCAACTAGTCATTTATCAAGTAGAAATATCAATAGTTCTCTAGTCCCAGATTCCCCCGTGTGATAAATGTGATATTTCATTGCATTATATTATTGTAAACAGAATATTGATTCGGTATGTTTAACTTTATTTCTGACATTTATAGGCAAAGCAATCAATCAATTGAGAGAGAGAAATAGATGAATCAATACTAAAAAGGTATATATGCCTGACTGTACAGTCATATTACAAATATAATGTTGTTCATTCTGTATCTACAACGAATTGAGTTCTGACAAAAGTGCAAAATAAAGATAATTGTTTTAGGATTTGCCAGCTTTTTATACTTAACGTGCTACAAACACGTTTTCGGCTGGTTCCAAAAAAGACAGTTTGATACCAAAACATAGTGTGGGAAAAAAGAAGTGGTTGGCACACTGCACTACTCCAATCTGGCTCTCTAATTACTGACTGTTTCATTTTCAGAAAGGATCTTTGTAAAACAGACAGTAGCCTGTCGTTTGTACTTGTTATAAATGTTTAAATGGGAGAATGAGCAGACATCAGACTGTTTTCTATTATTAATCTGCATTGTTGGCAGAAGGGCAGGTCCCGCTTTTAGACGCTATATCTTGGATTAGCTTTCACATTTGTTTCTGTGTGTCTCTGCTAACTGGCATTCTTCGTTTTGAATCCTAAGTAGGACAAAACCGCCCATAAAAGACATTTAGGAAGGCTAGTTCAACTAAAATGCCTCATATGCATTATCATCATCATCCATACCTTTGTCTTTCAGCCCTAGTGCCACTCTTTCTGTCACGTCATATCTGTCACTGCGCTTACTTAAACCCGGCTAAACTGCCTTCTGTTTTATTAACAGTCCATTAAGCCCCTGCCGGAATGATGCTGTAACATTTGATGGGCTTGTGTACACTAGCAGGATGAAGAAATGCTTCTCATTAGCTAGATCCAGTGAGCTGGAGTGGAACAGTTTGGTCTGTGTGTGTTTGCACTGTAGGTGTGTGTAAAAGAGCGAGACAAAGAGAGAGTGACAACATGGAGAAAGCTACGGAGATACAAATTAAGACTAAGTCGCACGTGTGGAGCGAAAGACTCCATGTGAGACTACAATGAGACTTGGCTGCCATTCTTCTCAACAATTTTGCTCAAAATGTCTGAGCACTTAACCCTACAGAAGAGATAAACTGCGTGTGTGAACACAGAAACACAAAAACCTTTTAGTTACTTGAATTAATAAGCCCCATAGCAAGCTATGGACAGTCTGACAGAGAAAATAGACCAATTACTTGTCTGGAACCGTCCGCTTAGGGCTCTGGAGGTCTGCGAGTCTGAGGGGAATTGGAGGGAAAATACCAAAATTCAATCAATTCAGTTTTATCCTCCATTTACAGTTGCTTTGTTTCCATTCAGTGCTTCTGTGATTTATCAATCAGGGAGCGCGACAAAGGTTGGGTACCACATGTTGAATAGAAGCACATGACTGATTTTGCGGCATTGACATTGACCAACTAACGCTGGAAATGTTTGTTAACAGCACAATTACTTAATCTTAAACCAAGCCAGATGGCTCTATAACTTGGGAGTACACTAAAAGAGAAGAATAAGAAGACGTTCAGTAGATGTACTCGTGTTTGGAATGACTATGGGAGGAGTAAAAAAAGGAAGAATATTCAGACTCTGGCCAGAAAACACAATCTAAACCTCTCTCCAGTGTTTACCCTTCTTATCATCCTTCATTCATCTCCCCTTTTAACTTTCCATTTCAAGACAGCTATGATGTTCTGACTGTCAAGTGGAAACACCTCACTCTCTTTTCTTCTTCCCTTTCAGCCACGTCCTTAAAATGTTATTTCAACTTCCTCTGTGGCTCCTTTCCTCCTCCCATAGCGTAATAATTATCCTTCTATCTTGGCTTCTCTGCGATCTCTTCTTTGCTTCCAACCTCTATTTACATGAATAAATAAATATGTGTGTCAATAAAAGAGCTCTCTGTGAGCCGGGACAGCCTGTAAGGCAGAAGCCTATTATTTTATTGTCAACAGCATTGAGCAGATTCATGGGAAACGTTTTTGTTTTTGTTTGGCAATACCTCAACATATGGGTGCATAAATCAGAAACCGCCATATCTTCCTCATCTCCATCTGCTCTCTTCAGTTTCAATATTCCCAGAGACAATAAGCATGCAAAAAGTAGGGGACCACTCACCTCTCTGCACCAGCATGCTGACCTCGCTGCCTTTGGGACACTTGCTGAGCATGTCCACCACCTGGTTGTGAGACATGGTCTGCACGTTTCTCTTGTTGACCTCCACGATGATGTCGCCCTCCTTGAGGCCACGGCAGCGCGGGTAATCCACGATCTGCTTCACCCTCTGCCCTCCGCCTCCTGGACTGTCGGCGATGGTGAAGCCGAAGCCCTTGTCTCCTTTCTCCATGTGTACAGTGATGAGCTCTGGTTGCGTGGCGATGGAGGAGGCCAGGGTGACCACGTCGTTGGGGTAGCCTTGATGGGAAGAGGTATCGGAGGCCACGTCCGCGGAGGGGCTGTAGGGTCGGGGGAGGCCGTTGTGAGGCGCCCCTCCGTTGGTCGAGCCGTTGTTGTTCTGACTGCCGTGGCTGGACGGCGAGTCGTAGCTGTTGTGGGCCTCCTGACCGTTGACGATGATGGGGTCTTTGTTGTCCAGAATGGCCACGGAGGTGACCAGGCTAGTGTTGGGGTCATCGGGGTCAAAGGGCAGCGGGTAGCCGCGGCACAGCTCCAAGTTCACCATGGAGCCGATAGGGATGGACTGGAAGATCTTCACAACTTGGGCGTGGGTGTAGCCGAGCACACAGATGTCATTGACACTCACTATCACATCGCCTGGGAGGTGGAGGAGAGGGAGAAGTTATCATTTGTATGAAAGGAATTAATTTTGCAAAGCTTTTTTTTTTTTAAATCTTTACAAGGTCTTTCATTCTTTATATATAATCATATTGAGAACATGTATCATTCAAAAGCATTATTCCTATGTCGATTCCTATGTCTAAGTTGTTGGACAGAAAATGAAAGAATGTTTGCTTGGAATATAACATTAAACTGAATGTTTTGGACTGACAACGGTTTAATAGATCAAACGATAAACCAAATAATTGGGAATCAACATTGAAAGCATTGTTAGTTGCAGCCCTATTCCAAAACCTAATATATAAAGTAAACCAACCTGTCTCCATTTTGCCATCCAGGGCGGCAGGTCCATCTAAAACTAGGCTCTTGATCTGCAGGAACTCGTCCGGCTCGTCGCCTCCGACCACGGTGAAGCCGAACCCCCGGCGACTCTTTTTCAGCTTGGTGTTGATGAAAGTCCCATTCAGCTCGGATCGGTTCCGAGTAAAGAAAGGCTTCCCTCCTGGACACACAGACGGATACATTTCAATCTTTCAGATGCACTGATGGAAAAGCCAAACCTGGTTTTTACATTGCCAAACAATGTTATAACTATTCTCCATTAGAGGATACACTGAATCTGAGCTTCTGTATCTGGCAATTTGGCAAGTAAATGTTTCTCCTAGTTCCCTTGGAGGCACTGGCAGTCCCTTTATCTGTTTTAAATTGTGGTTGTGTATCAAAAGGTGTAATTGAGAGGCACAACATTTTAGTACAGAAATCAAATGTCTTGTGACACTCTTAATGCACGAAGGTCACATGATAAAAGCATTTGTATGAGGTTGTGCTATAGTGAATGGCTCTTGCCAACAAGATATCTCCACCATTCAATTTGATTGGCTGTGAGGGTTTCATTAAAAAAAGCAATATCCATGGAAACACATTTCACAGCGCTCTTAAGTCATGAGTAAAGTCTGTAGCCAATTACTCAGTCATCCTCTTTCTTCTTGCTTTTTGTACCTCATTATCTGGCATTAAGGGTACGAAAAGAAAGATATGAGATGAAATCAGTCCAAATCAAAAGCTCCAGTGAGATATTCATCCGTCGCATTTACTGTCGGAGCATGTGCGCAACGGGGAACAACAGTTAAAAAAAAGAGACCGTCGGAGTGCTAATCATTTATAAATGGTCTGTTCTTAAGAAGCTTCATACAGTACATGAATATGGAGATACAAGCACGGTGGAAGGAAAGCATATAAGCGAGCGAACAGTGCAGAGAAGGGATCAACAGAGGAATGTGTGCTTGTTGACCAGAAGCGCCACATTTGGTTAGTATGACTTAGTTTATGCATTCAATGAAAAATTAATTACCCTTGGAGTCAGTTTTTGTCCTTGAGTTTGTGAGGATGTTGTGCTGCATGTGTTTGTATGTGTGCAGGGACTACTGTATGAATAGACCTTTTTTCAGGACAGGAAGAAATGTAACAAAATAGTGAACATAGATGGTGACTTTATCCACGAGAGACACAGAGAGAAAGAGAGAGACTAGGAAGGAGGATAAAGGGAGTTTGATGAAGAGATTTCAAATGACGCCTGTTCTCAGGAGGAGTGTCAAGGCCTAGGTTGGCAAAGGGGGGAGGGAGAGAAAGGGTGAAATAGAAAGGCACAAAGATGAACTAAGCCAACAATTCAACCAAAGCAGAAAGGAGTGGGAGACAAACAAATAAATACAGCTAGACTGAGAATTTGAGCTATAATGTAAAGAGATTGATGAGAAAAACGACGTCCCACTGAGCAGCAAGGGAGTAAGAGGGATGCCATGGCTGGGCTAATTAGACAAGCTACTGGTGGGAGGCTGGTATAAAGGGAGCTGGCAACCAGGAGAAGGAAACACACAGTAACGGCTAGACACTGTAGGTGTGTGTGTAGCGCCAAATGGTGGGTGGATTCAGGCCTATTATTTGATGTAGGAAAAGCAACATAACATAACAGAGGATCCATAAGAAGCAACGGGAGGCCACAGTAAACACAGAGGAGGGGGGGGGGGGGGGGGGGGGGGGTTGTATATACAATGAAACAGTGCTTCGCAGAGTTTGGTTAAGAAAATACAAACACTGCCTCGAGTCTACTGTATAGATGAGGAGAATTGTAATCTACTCATTAAGAATATATGATGAAATGTATACAAAGGGCAGCTTAATAGCCTATTCACAACTTTTCCTCCAATATAATAACTCAAATACAGCCTTAAGCGCTGGCTCAGGAAAAAAGAAAAACGATAATGTAAGAGTTACATTTTAATATAACAAATGGAAATAAGCTGGGCATTAGGAAAAACTATTGAGTAGTCCCGTTTTATAGAATTCTCAAACTTTACATACACTGTAAAAGGGAACTTACGCTTTTGTCCCACGGCGTTGGGCATTGGTGGTCCTGTTTGGGGGTCCCTGTAGGTCTCCTGGTGGTTGGCAGCGTAGTTGGCCAGCGGGGCCCCTGCCAACGCCGAGTCCTCGATCCATTCTGCAAAAGCAAGAGGCACATGTTCTCTAGATGGGGTCAAGACAGGTGCACAGCCGCCCTACTTATGGGAGAAACTGGGGCTGGACGACATGTCCTTCTGCGCTGCGTGTTTGAGGAAATAGCCATTTTTTTCTTTCTATGATGCCAGAGGAAGAATAGTTCTCTGTGGGTTGGATACATTTCCATGGTTTGCGTCTAAAAAGAAACCTTCCCCACAGGACAACAGGGGAAGGGAAGTAGTAACACAAATAAAAACTACCAAGATATAACGTCAGGTTCAACAGGTCGCTTCATAAGTTCATGTAGCTTTCAAAAAGGTTTCACATCTTCCTATTGAATACAAATAAAGATCTGTGATAATGGAGCGATCCATTCCCTCATAAGGGCTACCATCTTTCATTAATCACCTTGTTACGACATCAAGGCACAGATCAGCCTGCAACCTTCATTAATATTCTTAACAGCGAGATAGAATCAATGCAGAAGCGGAAAAAAACTGGGTAAAAAAAAACTCAGCTTGAAGGTATTGAGCTTTTTTGAAGAGAGCTTTCAGACTTGGGAAAAATCCACAGGTAATCGAGTGGAATCGAATAATTTCTGCTGACTGAGCTGAAGCTGGAGTTACGATGTGGGTCGGCCCGCATTTACAATGAATCTCTCTGCGGGGGGTCCTGTGAATGCATAAGGTATAAGTCTAGGAATAGGTGCAACCTGGGGTTACCTATTAGAAGTGTTTTGGCAGCTGTGCGAGCTAAATCGTCACCATTATTACTGGTAGCACTTAGGTGACAAAAATCAGGTAAGAGGCTCTCCTTATCACTTTCAGTTGAAGAAAAACTTACCTGTCTTCACCCAAAAAGCTTTTAAGTTATTACCGACAACAAGTGTCCGATAGCAACCCAGAAAAGTTAAATGAACTTCAAAAATAGGCTGAGCGGTACAGCCGCAAATAATAGTTATGCCTTTATGGAAGGGCACTTAGCAAATCATAAGGCAGTAGCAGGCGACATTAAGAGACACAGTAGCAGTAGTTGCAGTAAAGAACACAATCTCACACATATATAGAGAGACGTACGCAGACAAGCCAGTCACACACATGAATAGAAAGAAAGGAAATGACGCCCTTGGTGGGGGCTTGTGAACGAACCTCGGATGTAGCGCTCACCTTCAGGTGGCTGCTGGCTTTGGGGCTGAGGCTGCTGAGGCTGCTGCTCCAGCTGCCTGCGCCTCTTAGCCTCCAACATGGGATTCTCATACTGGGTCTTCCTGTTGATATGACTTTGGGACGGCGGGAAAAAGGAAAGCGTAAATTGGGGGTTGAAAAATAAGAAATAAAGTTAGGGGAAACCAGAAAACAGGATGCGGGACACAAGGTAGGTTTCAGTAGGAAAGTGGAGGGAGAACAGACACAGAGGAGAGGATTAGGGAATAGAAGAGAGAGATGGATAAGCTTTGATTAATACACAGTGGCACAATACACATACATCCATCAATACGCACACAGTAATCCTCTCTGACACAATCACGTTCGCAAATCACATCAAATAAATCCCATTTTCATGATGGCTTAATTTACAGGCGAAGCTACAAACATCTTGACATCACAAACTAACCCCGAGAAATTACACCTGAATGCAGCTGCATTGTACAGCACATAAAGGGAACGGTGAGTAATTTATACTGGAAAATATATATTGCAGATAGAAAAAGGAAAGGAAGGGAGGGGGGGGGGGGGATATTGAAATGCCACAGCCTTGAGCCCCCAGGTGCTGCTTTGAAAAACATCGAAAAATGCATGAAACATATTCGTATTAATGCTGAGGCTCAGGGGCATCACACGAGATGAGATGCACACACACACATATGCACACATTCACCGCATGTTTTCCCAAATGATAATGACAAAAACAAAATGGCCTACATTTTCCAGTACACAAAAAGACCAAAATAGCTGCAGCGCAATCTGGCTGTGACAGCAAGACTGTACATACATTAGAGAGACTCCTATTTACAGTGAGATCTAGATTCTCTTTTGTTAATATAAAAAATGACGGGAAGAAAAATGCTAAATGGTTGTTACTTATTGTTTCTTTATGTGCAGCGTGTGTATTTGCATCCGAGTGTGCCTTCACATACTGTATGTCACTTACTCAACATAGTAGACCCCATACACTGGATCGTCGATTTTCTCCCATCCTGGTGGAAGTTCTAAAAGAAAAAATAGAAAGAGTTGGAGACGGATTAAACAAGGAACACTGTGAAGATGCCACTGGAGACCTTTTGCCTCTCCATTGTGCCTGCCTGTCAGTCAGCCTCCAGGGCCGGAGTCACTCAACAGCTACACAGGCTGTCGGGCTGACGCCGCCCCCCCCCCCACCACCACCACCACTCCTCGTCCCCTCACAATGGTGACATTTCCACACATCAGATAAGAGCAGAGCAAGACCCTCTCGGGCAAAGGATGGGAGGATAGAAAGGAGGGATGGAGAGATGAGAGGAGGTGGGAGAAAGGAGTGGTGATGGGGTCAGAGAGAGGACGGGAAGGAAAGAGCAAAGAAGGAGAAACAGGTGGAAGAAGGAGGGGATACTGGGGGGGGGGAGCAGGACTTGGAATAATCAAGGCTTTGAAACCATGGTATGGTGTTTTATTTATCTTAAAATGTTCTTGTATGTTTGTATAGTTTCATAATATTTAGGTGTGGAGAGCTGAAGGTAAGAATGTCAGAGCACGGTGCAACTGCCTGTTATATGTGTATATGACAATAATATATCTTAAATATTTTTAAAAGGCTTGAGTCTGGTAATGTGCTGCTAAGGTGTGAAATCAATAGAGTATTTGTTTAGCATCATAACATTCACTTTTCTTTTTGACAGTCTAACAAAGAAGCACATATCCGATTAATTTGATGTCTATATTAGTGAAAAGAAGACTGTCCTTGGACAAAGTGGAAGCGTGGCTGTGTTTTCTGTCTGATAAAGATTGTGAGAGTCACGCTTTGTGCTGCACCTTCATTCCTCTGAAAAACATCTTCATTTGAGGCGGTCGCATTGAACGCAGCTGCTTACTCACAGTGAAACAATCTCGCATGGAGAATTCTTTTTGTGAAATTCATGGTAATCGGCGCTGATTAGGAAAAGAAATGGATACGACTGGGCCCCACTTCAACAGCCTGTAATTGCCCGATGCTTCACTGTATTTCTACAGTAATGCAGTTATCTCCGACAGAAACATAAGATTACAGCAGCGTTGATTATTGGCCGGCCTCCACACAGATAATGTCAGAGGCTTCTAATTGGCTACAAACACAGATTGTCCAATATCCCCCTCCTGTGATCAGCTCAGTTTTACATATCGTTACCCGCAGCCAATTAAGCGCTGCCCTGTGTGCGAGTAGTTGGTAATTACAATCATCCAACATGGAGAGCCTCCCTCTGCTCTCTAATGAGGAGGGCCCTTCGTTGGAGTGGAGTCAACAGCAGATGCAACAAAAAAAAAGAAAAGGAAATGTTTAAATCGTATGTACATGACCCTAAAGATTGCAGTTTGTTACACCATGCTTGTTACACCAGGCTTGTTACACCAGGCTTGTTACACCAGGCTTGTTACACCAGGCTTGTTACACCAGGCTTGTTACACCAGGCTTGTCAACTTTAACTTGAACTTGCTGGTTTTTATATGTTGATCTGTCTGTATAATTGTTAGTGTAATAGAGGTTAAGAAATGTGTTATGTGTATGTTAATGCACAGGGACTGCAGATTGAAATAAATTGATAGCTGAATCTGGTTTAAATCATGTCTCTTCTTTTTGAGATTATATTTTATGCATGGTTCTTGTTTATTAAAGAACATTATAGAACTTATAATAATAAAAATGAGACAAATCTGCAATCAAGAGTCGTCAATATGATGTTTGTCAGCAATTCGAGTTACTCTAATTTCATATTTTCTCAACCTGCTTAATTCCTTTTCTAACACAGAAAGCACATGCGGCTATGAAATGAATGCAAGGTTAAAGCGTTGCTGTTGGTTACAGGGTGAACCCCCAAAGAGAGCACGGTGAATTATCATTCTGATTTTTGAACTGGAACGTTAAATGGAATGCGGTCCTGCATGGCCTCGCGCAACATTTTTAATCACCCACTTGATTTCACACTGCACTAGTTCCGCTCCTGGAGGAGCACCTGCGTTTGTGTGTGTGTGGGTGGTGAGTGAGTGACTGTGTGTGTCACAGAGAAAGCCTGGCGGAGAGAGGACATATGCAGCAACCATCGTAACGATTTCGTACATTACAGTGTGTGTAAACACAAATGAGAAAGACCAGGAGAGTCAGTCATTGCGCAGGGTTTTCCTCTCACACCGCCTCCCTCTTTCCTCATCCCACCTTCCAGAACATATTGTCAATTCAGCGGGTAGTCAAGCATGATGAATTACATGTCTAACTATTCGCATCTCATTCTCTTGATACTGTGCTGAGATTGATTTCTCTGGAGTAAGCATGTAGTACACGGGCACTGTGTGTGAGTATTTATGCATGTGTGTGTGCCCTTCATGTGTGTGTGTGCCCTTCCTTCATAAGATCTGCCTCTCCTCAGAGAACTGAGGTTAATTGCATTCCTTTGCCCACTCGTATTGGATTGTGCTGATCAATAATTATTGAACTAGACATCCAGTGGAGGGCTGATCTGATGGTTATAACATGGCAGCTGTTTAAGACGCTTATCTACGGGAGCTGCTAACAAGACGCTCTGCACACGGCCGCTTCACCATCACGGTGCATCGTCAAAATGTTCTGTCCATGACTTGTTTTTGTTGTTGTTTGCTGAAACACCTGCCAGTCAGAAATAAGAGCTAGAAAAATATTGAAAGTACTTAGATAATATTGATTAAATTAGCTTTACTACTTCAATAAAAAACATACTACGATACTTAAACAGGGTTCCTTAATATGTCCCTGACCCTGGCGCTGAAACTGGCAACAGATGGTAGATGGACTGCATTTATTTAGCTCTTTACCAGTCTTTGCAACCCCTCAAATTCTACAAAAACACAAAAGAATAATATGAAAGGTATTTATAGATTTGATCCCTGTATTTCAATGTTTCAACCACAAAGGTCTACTACCATCATTACTGAGTTGCTCCTGATGGAATGGTGTCTTCCATTACCTGTTCATAACGGAGCAGGCAGTCTGCAGACACCATTATCTGCACAAGAAGCCGCGCGGCCGTGTCTGATAGGTTAGTTAGTGTTCTGATGGGCTTCAGGGAAAAAAGGCCGGTTGCCGTCTGACTCGGACAGACACCCATTAGCAAATCATCATTACAACAATCTTCCTCGGATCAGCCCTTGTCTCTTTTGTGTGACATGACGAATCTGCAGAAGTGTAAGTGTGTCTGGATTGCTGATGGCATGTGGGTAAGTTGACAGTTGTGCTCAAGGCTGTTTATTTAATTTTTTTTAGACTTGAGTTTTTTTAATTGTATTGAGTCAGATTTTTAGCAAATGCATTAGAAAAGCAAAGGGTTAGGCTTTGGTAAAGGTCATATCTCTGTCAGTGTGGCTGGATGTGTCATCTCTCTCCAACTGTGGAGTAAGACTTCATGAGCCACTGGTGGTGATGTTGGGCATGTCATTATGTAGATGTGTGAATCAATTTCTAAAAATTGAGATACAATTTGAATTGCAGATTGGGTGGTGTTAAGATGAGAGAAGTTCTTACCTAAGTCGTTGTCCAGCTCCTCTGTGTGGACCCCTTCTGCTCGGAGGGACGGACAGACCAGCAGCACAGGAGGGTTGTTAAATGAAAAGAGAAGGGGGGGGGGGGGGGGTGCACATCTGTGAGTCAGTCAAATACATCTGAGAGATAATCACAGCCAGAGCCTCGTGATAAACACAATCCCCAAACGGATCTGTGTGTGAACGTTTGCATTTTGAGGGGAAAGAAACACATGATCTCATTGTTAACAAATAGTTGTACTCTCTGTTTGCATGCATGTTTTTGTGGCTTAAAGCATCTGTGTTAAATATCTCTGAGCAAGGAGGGCATTACTTATTGGAGCTACATGATGTGGATGATGCATTTAGTTCCTATGAAGCTGTGGGGCATCTTGCTCTGATAAACAGCTGAAAGAAGGAGCAGAGCAGTGACACCCAATGACTGCTCGCCATCTTCTGTGACCCAACACTGACACCTAAAGGCTGCTGGGGGAACTACTGCGCTGCTGTAAACATCTGTCACAGCATTGTGAAATAGGACAATAAGGTTGTTTTCTAACCCATGTTTATGGTAGAATCTACTAAAAAAAAATCTAGTTGATTGGACATAATGTGTAAATAGAATCTTAGACAAGTTTCCTTATTTAATCATAAATGTGTTTAGGTGTTTTTCTCGAAATGTCCCTTAAAGGTAGGGTAGGTAAGTTTGAGAAACCGGCTCGAGATCGCTAGAATTTGAAAATACACAACCGGAGAAAATTTGCCACTTCCTTACAGAGCCCCTCCTCCAACACACACGAACGCGCACATGACCAATGAGGGCATGAGATAAGTTTGTGCACAGATGGAAGGCTGACAGGCAGGTAGGCCATCCAGTTACTTTAGCCGGGCCGGCTAAAATGATTGGTCGTGCTTTTTACAGTACTACAGCTTCCACAGATGACATTTTTTTATGGATTCTTTGTCAAAGCACTTAAGATATTCATTGCTATCGGGATGTTAAGAGCATTCCATGGAATATAACAAAAAGTGTATCTCGAGCCGGTTTCTCAAACTTACCTACCCTACCTTTAATAATAAAACAACAGAATGAGAGAAACCTATATATTTGACATCTGACAGAACTAAATTAGAAGAAAAGTGTATAAATCAAGGAATGCCTTAAGGCCCGTTTAAGTGTAATGCATAAGCAGAGGATTTTACATAAACATATCAAATGGTATAGGGAAATAAGGCTCAAAACATGAACGTACCATCGTCTTCACATTCTTCCAGGGGTTTCTGAGGCTTGTCCATGCACCGAGGGTCTATCCAGGAGGTGGTCTTTGTATTGTGGCTAAACAGAGAAAACACACACAAATACAATTACCTTATGGGGATAGAAATAATGAAAAAACGCTATACATTTACATCTGGTATTTAGCAAGGCAGATGTCTTAGAAGTTGACAGGATTTAATATTATAGTGCATCATTTAAGATGAAGATTTGCTGGAGTCTTATGAACTGAGGGGCAGGACTATTTAGTCAAGTTATACATGTCAAGAGATGTTGAAATCAGGAATCAGATCTGTTATTGATACATTGGTTCCTTCATAACTATTTGGTTCACAGCACAACAAATCTAGTATGGTCTGTTTGAGTAACAGCTCTTCCACTCTAATGACAGACAGACGCTTTTTGAAGGACAGAAGCTGCTGAGCGAAAGGCACAAAATGATTCCATTATAAATGACTGAACCTGCTCATAAATAACAACAGACTCTCACAAGGTCACACCACTTATTACAGACGTAACTCATGTAGTGAGTATTTTTTAAAAGCATTAGGATCTGGGTTGAATTCAACCCCTCAAAGTCTTAAATTGCAGACTTTATTTCCCATGTTCTTACTCCAGTTGAACTATATTCCTAGATTTAGTGGCTGCATATGCTGAAGAAATGAATAGCATGTTGATTTATGCTCCATTATGTTGGTTGTGATATAAAGCTTTCAAATAGTATCCAAAGCATCATCATTTAAAGACCGAGTTATTGTATGAAAGCCTGAGGAATGTGTTTAACGACTTAATGTTCGATAGCAAAGTGGAACTCGTAGTTTATGTCTGAACTTTCTGATCTGCAGAACCATTTGTTTTTTATTGAAAATGTTTACGTATTGGCTTTATATGTATAACCAGAAACAGACTATATTATGTATCCCAGTTTCCCCATTTTAGAATGAAATAAGTCAAACGTTTTAGAACAATTGAATAAAATAAAATGTACAATATGTATACAAACATAAGAAAGCAAAGTTAGAGTGTGCAATAAAAAAGATAAGGTAATTAAAATAAGAGTTTTATTTAAACGTAGGAAGTTATAGTTAAAATGTGCAAATTGTACTATAAAATAGTGCATTTACACTACAATATATAAAGACATTAATGCTCAATTGCACAGTGTATGTACATATGCATGCAAAAACGAAATGTTATAAGTCATCTCTTTGGTACTTTCAGGAAGTGAAGCAGTGATCAGAGCCACGCTGCGTTACGAGTGTGAACTCACTCTATATAGTAGACCTCTCCGTTCTCGGTGTAGGCCATCTCCCAGTTGTCAGGCAGAGTCCCCAGAGGGTCCTCCGGGGGAGGATGGCTCAGGTTAGAGTTGGACTGCTGAGTGCTCTCCGTGGTGGCCGATGGTGAGGGGGTTCTCCCAACGTAGGGCGGGTCACTCCGGGGGGGGGTAGGGGCGCACTGAGTGAGGAATCTCGTCTAATTCACTAGAATCTCCTAAAAGGATTCAGGGAAGCACATGGATTGGTGTTAAGATCATTTTTGGTGCAAAAAAACACTTTCAGGATCAGAAAGTAGCAGTGGGAACAACTCAATGCAACAAGAGTCGTCTTATAGAAACTAAATCTAACACATAATGTCTTTCTAAACTTTGCCCTGTGTGAGATAGTTGTTATTTCTAAAGAGCATCACACCACTAGATACAGCACAAGTTTTAGAAAGTTACGCTAACATGACAGACTGTAAGATATTTTAAAACAACATGTTTGGAAAAGAAGGAAAGAAAAAGTTAGGACAAATGTTTACCTGTCATTGTTTTCTTTCATGTTCAATGAAATCAATGAAATGACATATGTCCTATTTACCTAAGCAGTCCAAATGTATATACGAGTATCCTGTTGAAGATTTGTTAGAAAAGCTATATCTTCCCACAAGTGTTGGTCCAAGGAAATTCCAAAGCTTTCACCGCTAGTTTTTGACTGAAATCCCACTATTGTGTTACACTTCCCACAGCAATAGAGACATTAACTTCAGTTAAAGACTGCTGAGTGGGCAGTTAACACCTAAAAGCATGGCCTCTGAAGTGATATCACCTAGTTTCCCGTTATCTCAGTTTCACACTCACACTTGACTGGTTGGCACCCTCAGAGCTCGCACAATCACAGACGGTGAATAAACAACTTTAGGTCCCACCTTCTCAAAAACACATGGCAGAGACAGCTTTAGGGCTGAGTTACCCTCCTTAAAATGCCTACTGACCTACTAACACACAAGAGGAGATAATAACATATCATTCAAATTCAATGCCAACAGAGCCAAAACAGCGTTGATTTCAGCATCATGCTTTCAAACATTTTGAATCATTGAATACAATCTCTTACTCTAACATACTACACTAAGAATAAATGCATCCATGGAGGTTGCTCAGCCTTCTGGCCTCCACTTCTTGCAGCCAGAGGGCACTATTTTACACTTTTGGATGCATGGATACAGGCAGATGTAGTCAAACCCAGAGACCACTTACTCACCAATGAAAGAAGCTCTTGTATGCTGTAGCCCCTCACCACTTTAAAGCTCTCTCTTTCTCTCTCGGCCGCTCCCTCTCCACTCTCTTTGTCCTCTTTCTCCTACTTCTTCATTTTTCTGAGCTTATCCTCCTCAACAAAACACAATCCTGCCTTCCTTCCCTTCTCTCTCTCCCTTCTCTCTCTCTGTCCAATCCTTTTTCAGACCTGCCCACATGTCCCCCTCCCCAGCCACTCCCTCCTTCCTTTTAATTTCCTGCTACCTTGTCTCTACTTACATCCCCTCCCACTTTATCCGTCGCAACTATACTGTTGTTTCTTCTTCTTCCTAGCGGAGCTGCAGAGAGCAGGATCACATTCAAGTGTTATACTCCCAAATAAACAGAACACAGCATGTTCTCAGGGTGCTTCTGAAGACAGCTCTGCAAGCAGCCGCCTGTGTACTCTGACTGCAGGTCTGCTTGTTAAAAAGGAGTCCACACCGGCTACAGAAGCTTGTGAGTCATGATGTAAGTTCTGCAAAACATGGAGTACTACAGCTAGTAGAAGAAAAATGATAATAAACCCAGAATAAGTGGAAAGCAATTGATAGGTACAAGCAACATTTTTGAGAAGGTTGAAAAAATGGAGAAAGTGAATCCAGCTAGCCTGTAGTGTTTGCCAAACGTGGCACTTCATATTGGCTGTTGCCTTTGTGAGGATGCCAAATGTAATTTAGTTTGGAGAATAGCATCAGCCTTGAGGCCTGTTCCGGTTTGGTGTTTTGTATCCAAATAAATGAAAATCATACAGTAGATAATCCATTGGAGACTGACTACTATTGACACCTGGATCCAGAATGTGTTTCAAATGTTCCTTGAGTGACCGTTTGTTGTTGGACCTCAGCTCTGTACTCACTGTGTGAAACTGCTCAACAGAGAAACAACACATCTGTGCTCAACCAAGCAGCCAGAGAGAGGGAGTGTTCAGCCCAGAGCACAGACTTCAAATCAACTGTTTTTGTGAGGTTTAGCATTCACATTGCATTTCACTCCTGTGTGATCAATCTCTGTCTATCTTTTAATTAGTTTTGGTAGTGAAGGCTTGCTCTGATTATTGATTTACCTGTAAAAGATGTTCACAGTAATGAGTTGTTTAGTTTAAATTGAGGACAAATGTCCATCTCAGTCGTCCCCCTTGTTTCGTCTTACCAACTTTATAAAAGACCTAATGGTATTTATGTAAAGGGGAATTCAAGATATTCAGTATAGCACCTGTATAGAGTCTGGGAACTGAGAGAAATACATTTATAAAGAAAAAAGGGGGCTGAGATTCTGACATGAGTCCCTACCACGGGTCAAGTTTGAAAACACTGGATCCCACATTTCCCACACTGCAACTTGATGATTCATATATTGGAATCATACCCGAAGTATTCAAAATAAAAATTGAAACAACCAAGATTCCACTTTCTACTATCATGACTTTACATCATGTTGAACCACCAAGCATGGTCTCTTTATTTCACCTCTGACATTCTCAACTACACAATGTCTAAATGTAATGATTCTTGACACTCAAGCATTAGCTGGAACTGATAAGACATGCAGTCCTGTGATCATTGTCTATCCACAAACTATTCCCTCTCTTCTTCTCCCCCGTCCTCCTGCCCCGGTACGTACCTGTAAAGCTGCTGTTCATGTCCGGGAGGTCCTCGTCGTCCTCCTGCTGCTGCCGCTCTCCAGGCCCTATTCCAGCATTTTGCATGTCATTGTAGGACTTGGAGCGTCGGGGAGTGGAGTGCTCAGAGCCCGGCAGGCTACCGCTGAGCCCGTCTGGCAGTGGGGCATCACCGCCGCTACCGCTACCGCTAATCACTTTCCCACCGGGGGGCTGCACCGGTGGCTTGGGCGTCCCATAATAGTTACCTAGGCAACGAGAGAAGGACGAATGGATTAAAAAAGACGGAAAAAAAGAGGGTTTTTTGAGTCCGAGGGGTCAAAGAGTTGTGTGTGTGTGTGTGTGTGTTGGAGGGGGAGAGAGCAGGTTTGTGTGAGGAACATTTGAATATCTGAAGCAAAGCTAAATATTTTTCTTGTTTGACCTAGGTAAAGTTTGTAAAAGGTAAACTACTTTGTTTTAAAGTGGACCTATCATGCTATATTTGAATAATATAGTGTAGGACCATACCTATACAGTATAAGCCATATTTATACTTTTTTTAAAAAAGAATACCAAACAGATCATGCATTTTAGCCATGCCTCATTTCGCTCAATTTGAAAAATGTTAGCTCTGTTTTTGCAAGGGTTGATTCTGTGAGCAACAGCACCATCGAGAGGCCTGGCATATGTACTACAACGTCTCCAGCGCTTTCGAACGGCAATGCCGTGGTTGTCTCCTCCTGATTGGTGGAGTTGGCCCAATAGCCGTAGCGCCACCGTCCTGACGTCAGGACAGTGTTCAAATCTGGATCAGTTTTTATCAGATCCGTTGCAGCCCCTTTTTTAGAGAATTGGGTATGGAGGAAAATAGAGAGGGTTGTGTTTTCTGACACTTGGTGAGTTCCCTGGAACACCGGGGACACATATTCATGTATAAAAGACGTACAAAAGTGCATTTTGCATGATAGGTCCCCTTTAACTCATCACAAACTAATAATGTTTTACGCAACAACACTTCCCACATGATTTTTCCTCCCTTATAACCAATGAAAGTGGATATTTTGTGAGAGTTGATTTCTATTCGGTTACCAAGAACAGTAGTAGTTTTCCTGAAAGTTGACATTTAGTAAAGCATTTTCCAGACAGATTGTCCTTCAGTGCCTGTACCACATTTCAAACTGACAGTTTCAAAGGCGAGAGAACAAAACATGCAGAACTGTTTTTTTTACATAAACTGAGTCATTCTCATCCAAAGTTAGAACAGAGAGACCTCAGCAGACTGTACCATCTGAGAATCAGAATATAAAGACAAATATAAAGCCTTCATCTTAACAGCATTAGCATCCAAAAGATAAAGGCAGGAGAAAAAAACAACATACTCGGATGTACTGGGAAATAGACATTTTGGCATGTCATTACAGGAAAAGCACAGGGGTAATTGATAACAACAACAGCCATTTTAGCCATGAAAAAAGGTTTATAAGCACATTTTGAACAGGTTTGTAATGATAAAACCTGTTTAAATATTTAGCATGTGCCTAAAATGGTATTGGTGTAATTCTGGACCCAAAAATAAGTCATTTCTTTAATGTTGAAAACGTACATTTAGGCTTGTATATATTTATTTCATAGTTTAACGTTTATAGTCTATAAGGTAAAACAAGATCATGAACATGGTTGTTGATAATTTCAGTCACAACTTAATATAAACCAAAGTGACATTTTGTGTCACCAAAACATATATTAATCTTACAAACTAAATTAAATGAGTAATAATTTAAATATCCCCAAAGTTTTACCGGACAATACACATCCAGCCAAAGCTGCAGAAAATACCAGAATTGCGCGTCTTTTTAAAATACTTTAAAGTGACAGAAAGATAATGTGAAAGCTTCTGATTTTCTCCATATGGTCCTCAGTGGGAGTGAGTGAGCTAGCTGCCAGTCAGGAAGTCACTGGGCTTGTTTGCCTCTCTTGCCTTCAGAGGGAAATCCATTGTTATGGAACAGTGAGCAAGCAAAGTGGACACAGCAGACACTTAATTAAACATTATCTGACTGAATGGCGGGGGGACATGGTCGTGTTGTTGTTTACAGTCCTCTCAGTGATGACTTTGGTTTATCAGCAAAGTGTTGTTTGCCGAGTGTGACGCATGCTGTGTTTCCAATGTGTCATGATCACTGAACTTATTACTTTTCTTTACTTTGTTGTCTCCAGGAGGTTTTCAAAACTTCTTCACTTCCTTATCAAATTTGCTTTTGGTGTTTGTTTTTTTTAATGGAGAACCCTACCTTTCATCCCACTGTGTGATAAACTGTAGCATCGTTCTGAACAAATGCTTTATCGGTGTTAACTTGTTAGAAACAAAATCATAAGTTTGCTTTGATTTGAATGTCTAATGTTCAGAGACAGTTTACAGGGGCATCAGGAACAAACTCCTTAAATCAATTAAAATGTTTTTATTCCTGGAAAGTTCCTGGCTAGTAGAAAGGGTGAGCATTGATCTTGGAAAATATTATGAAACTAGACATCTAACACATGACAAATGTATCCACCAACACATGCAAATTATTTTAGTTCTGGCAGCTAGAAAGGAGAACTTACTTGACAAGTGTGTACATTTGTGATGTGCGTTCGATTACAGTGTCGCAAGGCAACTGCAAATCACTCATTACGACCCCAAAGACCCTAGACCTGATGTGAAAGGCTGGCTGTGTGTCTATGCTGACCCAGAACAAATCAACCAAACACTAACACTGCCAAATGCCCAGCAGATCTATATCACACCCGCCACTTCAATATTTTGTTAATATACAACTGCTATTTTCCTTACGTGAAACACAAAGTGTACCAAGATTTTGACGGCAACTCTTTCAATTTTCAAACCAACTTGTCTCGTCTACTTTAGTGTGTTCCAATATGTCTACGATTTGCTTTCAACAACCGCTCCAGATACTGTAGCAGGTAAACATGTTGCTGAAAGCTCTCTGACCTACATATACACTGAGCAGAGTGATAGCAATAGCGGTGCATACCAAACAAGCAGGAGAATTTGAACTTTTCAATTTGAGAAAAACATGTCCTTCTAAAGCATTGCCCTATGATGTAGTGTTTGTTCAGCAATGGATTTTATCCAATGTGATTGTTAAATGTCAACTCAAACAAAATCCAGTAAAAATGTGCTCTTTGACTCAAAGGGACTGACATCAAAACTTGACAGTAGCGGAGGCGGCCATGATTTGAGCACCGGCGCGAGGCAGAGGGAAGTCACTGTGCCTCCTGCTGTGCCGGCAGCTGCACCTGTCCAGCAGCCGGACACAACAGGCACACGTTCTGACAATGTAACATGGGGAGGGTGAGTTTAAACCCTGGTTGAAAGTACAGAGGGACTTGGTTATTATCTGCCATGCAAGCTGGCTTACCTGTCTAACATCATGACATTAGACACTTTAATCATGTTCACTGATTGACGCACAAAGAACAAGAGTAATAGTAGCATCATTGAACTCCTACTTGTGTTAAACACAGCGAGTGTTTAATGACGACGGTGCCAAGTCGTGAGCGTCTTGTCATTAGTCATGGCAAATAAGGTCAGTGACCAGCATAACTAAGTCATAGTTTTTGTTAACAAAGTTAGCATTGACTCCTACGTTCAGCTACTAAAAGTGTGGATTTACGTCATTGACAGATTATGTTGGTTTGAATGGAATAACGTAACAGAGTCCTAGGACATTAATCCACTGATGTTTGCTGTTGACTTTCTAGATATTGGAAACCTATAAAAACGATTAACCCCCCTACACGGTTTCATACTCTGAAGTTGCATACAATACACCCAGGCAAGTGTGTGATATATTTTAACTCACCATCATACGTTCCAATCTCCAAAAGGGTCCCACTCTTCTCCAACTCCAGGAAATCCTCTATTGAGAGGAAGTTGTAGTCCACGCCAGAAACTTCTCCGTCACGTGGGCCGCGGGTTGTACCTGAACAACAAATCAGAGACAGGGTCGGAGTTAGCCAAATAGAATGAATATCCAGCAATACGGAGGAGGGTGACAGTTGGAGCGGGCGTGTAAAAATTCACTGAAGCACGGCTTTTATCTTAGAAGTCACTCCCTTTTCCTGACACATATTTATTTCAATACATCATCGGAAAACTGGTTTAGCAGCCATTTATCCTTACACATACAACATGTCAGGGATATTGTATTTAAAATGCTATATAAATGATCCATTTTAATAGTGGTAAAACTAACGTTATTGTTTGCTATGATTTTCTTTCACACTGGGGGAAGAGTGTGAGGTATCGTAGTAGCAAGTGGGATCCTGCCATATGTGAAGGAAAAAAGGGAGTGACTGTGTGTGTGTGTGTGTGTGTGTGTGTGTGTGTGTGTGTGTGTGTGTGTGTGTGTGTGTGTGTGTGTGTGTGTGTGTGTGTGTGTGTGTGTGTGTGTGTGTGTCGTTTGGCATGTAGCCTGTGAGATCGAGCACCGTCTTAAATGACTGCTGACAGTTGGCCGGTGTTGCGTCAACGGTAAACAGCTTTTCAGCTGAGACAATAGTGAGATTACACCACTGCTAAATTAACTGACGATTGAAGTCATGATGCCTTTTTCTCTACTTCCTTTGCTCTGTTCAATCATTTAATGTTTGTCTCACCAGTGCACATTTCCACATTATTGTCTGACAAGGGCTGCACAATATATATATATATATATATGTATTTTGTTATCATACTTGCAATGTCAACTTGCACACATCGCACATACAGAGAGGGATTATTTTAGTTCTTTGAAAGGAAGTCTCACTAGGAACTGTTGATTATTTTGTCTTCATTTAAGTGTTCAAATGTTTTTTTTTTAAAATTGATTACATGTCATTTGTTAGACGCTTTTATCCATAGCGACTTACATCCATTCAGTACTGTGGACAATCCCCACAGGAGCAATTTGAGGTGAAGTGTCTTGCCCAGGGACACAACGACATGCTGACTGCAGTGGGACTCGAACTTGCTACCCCCTGATTTGAAGTCCAGCACACTACCCACTGAGCCACAGCCTCCCATTGATCTTGGAATTTGTTGTTTTTTTAATGAAAGCAACAGTATGACTAAACGAATTGTACATACATAGCTGTTTATTCATTGTTATAATGGACTATCACGATATTCAACAATGTTATAGCATATTTTCCTCATATTGTGCAGCCTTTTTGTGTCCGGCTTGAAAAATGCAATAAATGCAAGCATCAACGGCTCATGGCAAATAATCTTTCTCATCTTATTCTGACAGACATGTGTTTCCCGACATCAGAGGGCTTTCCCTTCTTTGCTACCTTCCGTTGCCTTCCCTCTCCTGATTTATCCGTCTTATCTCCCAATCACTCCGTCTCCTGTGGGTTGGTAGGCAATAAGCTGGTAAAAATAGATGTGTGGGGATAAGGGGGAGAGGCTCCTACTGCAGCCACGCTCAGTGACACCGGTAATAAATCACACATGTGTAGGTCCTTACTCTATGCAAGCAGAAAAGAACATGTAGAAACAAACACAGAAACACAGAATCTCTCACACAAAATAGTCTCCAGTTCAATGGATCAGACCAATCCTCCAACTTTTACAATCACACACTTCTTTTATGGTATCTCTGCTAAAAGCTACTGAACGTGGATAAAGAAAATGTCATTTCTTCCTGTTCACCACTAGCATTCAAACTTTACTTCCACTATTTGTGAGCAGACACTCATTCAGTGGGAGGACATTGACCTATAGTCAATCAAATCCCACCCTGAAGTCTTTCAAACAAATAGTGCGCTCATTCCCAGGCACCGAGCCTTTTACAGGACGTCAACCTTGGAGAGTCCTCAGCCGACAGTCAGTTTGCTTCCCACACAAAAGTGGCCATTGATTGGACTCCAATTAGACACTGCTGCTCTTAGAAAGCCAAACAGGAAGTGGAATTGTGACCTGTGTTTCAAAAAGCGATGGAAAAGCATTGGCTCATACCCAGGTGTGAGAAACGGTCATCGCTATAGGCCTCATTAATTCAATACCAAGCCAAAACAAAAGCTCCATTGACCGAGCTGTGAGTGAGAAATAAAAGCAGGTTGGGACTTGTGCAAAGACACTTCTGCCTACAGTTGGGATTGGAGCAACACCACTACTAAAATGCAGAGGAAGACAGAGAAGGAGTCAGACTTCCAAAGCTAAGTGTTAGCATAATCCAGCTACTGGCACACACAATGAAAAGCCTTGAAGATTTGCTGTGAGGGTGTTCGTCTAAAGCTGGCTGGCTCACGGCTTAACGGCTTCAACATCTTCACCAGCTGAGATTGGTGGGTGGGCGTTGTGTGATAAAAAAAATCGTCATTAGCAATTCAGGAGGATGATCAAGGAAACGAGAGTTGCTAGTCGTACTGTGAGCAGGGAGCTTAGAGTCACTACTGCTGCAGCAAAATACATTCACACGCCCAAAAACAAACAGCAAATGTACCACCAGCCTGTTACTGTATAAGACACAATAATAAATGCACCACGACTGTATGTTCTTTAAAAAAAATAGAGCAACAAAGGAAATAAGTAATTTCTGTGTCTTCATGCATCGTGCCACTGGGTCTCTGCTGTTGCCAGGGACAACAGAGGAAGGATAGAGAGAGCGAGAGGGATGTGGGGAAGCTATGAGGGGAAGTGTTTCCTCCAGTGATGATGCAGTCCTTTACATGGTCTCCTCTGGCTTCACAACACCCTTTTCAATTCCATGACAGAAATATGAAGCACCAGAGAGGCATGACTCGCAGGCCTGGTCCGTACGAGGAAGCATAAATGATGCATGCACGGGAAAAATGAGAGTGGGAAAAGGCTTCAAGAATGGAGAGAGTGAGAAAAACATTTAGAGTGATCAGGATTTCACGGACTGCATTAATCTTGACAGTGACAGTGGTCTAAATAAGTTAGTATTCTGATCAATCTGTTTATATAGCTTGCTTTCAGGGCTGAGCATTAAACAGGGTTCCTGCAGGTTTTGCCAACTCAAATTTAAGACATTTTAAGACCTTTTTAAGACCACTTTGAATAGAATTTAAGACCTATTTCACGGCAAGTATGAAGGAAAATTGCTATGAAAGAAGAAATATGTCCCATAATTACTTACAAAGTAAATGTATTCATGTTCAACATAAGAACAATGACTGAACATAACAGCATAACAGTACAGAACTGTGTTAGCGTGTTAGACAAAAAAGTGTGTGTGTGTGTGTTAGGGCTGTGCAATTAATCGTATTTAATCACAATTACGATTTTGGCCTGCCACAATTACGAAAACAACATAATCGAAAAAAACGATTATTTTGCTTTGCTAGGTTGTGACAGTGCACTACTAGAACATATTTGATCTAATACATTTTAGTCTAATTTATTTTTATTTATCATATTTATATATGTTTAGTAGCTTGTGGAAGTGCGCTCCAAAATATTTGTTGATCTTGTTTATTGGTATTTATTATTCTGATATTATTTATTTAAATGTATCATTTATTTTTGTATTGGTTTTTCAGTTGAATTATACGTTCAGGGTAATCAACAGTTAAAAAGATACTGTTCAAATAATTATTTGTTTTAAAGTTCAATAAATGGATGTTTTCAAAGTCAATGAATAATCGTATTTAATAATCGTGATATCAATTATTGACAAAAATAATCGTGATTATGATTTTTGCCATAATCGAGCAGCCCGTGTGTGTGTGTGTGTGTGTGTGTGTGTGTGTGTGTGTGTGTGTGTGTGTGTGTGTGTGTGTGTGTGTGAGAGAGAGAGAGAGAGAGAGAGAGAGAGAGAGAGAGTGACAAGAGCTATATTCAGAGCTCTGCTGCCTTGGCTACAATCTTTCATCGTTGCTGTTGTATGATTGGTGTTTAACTACGGTATTTAGCGTCTACAGCACCTCCGCTTTTAGGGTTGACGTAGACCCAAACGTCGCCCGTAGGTCCCCCGGTGTTGTTGCGGGAGCTGCTGCACTAGCTAACGCTGCACTAGCTAACGCTACATTAGCAAAACAAACGCAAATGTATTTTGCAAAAGGTGCAGCGGGCTTCAAACACGTTCCCTCCACTGATTTCAACCAAGCACTAAATTCGATGTTTTCCAACCAAATACGGTTGAACTTACACTTCCCCATATTTATTTGTAAGTAGATTTGAAGATACATGAGTTTCTGACTGCCGCTAGCTGAAGCTTGGTTGCTAGGTTACTAGCTGGGTGTTCTCCGATAAGGGGCCGGGGGAAACAAAGTTAGTGATGACTGGTTCCATGTTGATTTATTTCAATACAGATTGTTGGGGGGAACTGAAAGGCTCTTACCGTACTGGTTACTTTGCAGCCCGGACATTTCCCCCAAAACACATTTTAGACGCGATCGCAACACAGAAGTACCTTTCAAATCCCATCATTTTTAAGACCTTCTAAATCATATTTAAGACCTTTCTTATTTTTTTGGTCATATTTAAGACCTTTTTAAGGCCTTAAATTCAGATTATCAAATTTAAGACTTTTTAAGACCCCGCGGGAACCCTGTAAAGGCATTGCTTATTAAGCAGCGACTTCATTGTTTACTGTGAGTTTACATTAAGAGTTCAACCTTAAATCACATCTTTCTTTTGTGTTGCCATAGTAGTATATCATTTAGGCAAATCATCTACAAACTCTGTTAGACCCCATTTGCAGGTCTCCCTTGAAAAAGAGATCTATGATCTCAAGGGACAATCTGGATAAATAAAGGTTTGAAAATGTACACGCAAACGCATACGAAACGCAAACGAACCGAATACGATATCAAAAAAGTATTCCGTTCACACGAGACCACTCGGGAGCGCTGGAGACGCTGTAGTACATATGCCGGGCCTGTAAGTAGCGCTGTACTTCAGCCACAAAATACACCAAAAGCAGCGAAGAAGACCCCCCGAGCATGGTTGCCATGGTTGCCCTTCTGTTTATGC